CCGCCACAGCTCATCTCCACCTGAAATACCACCACACCACCAGCACTTCTTCATCCTCAATTAACGTCGCCGTCGCCGTCATCATCGTCATCCTTTAACCCTGTGGTGGAGATGAGAGTTGGGTAGGAGAGATGATGGCCCGACCTTCAAATCTGGAGATGAGATATTCGATTTGGGGGTTTTGGATGGGTTTGAGAATTGGGTTTGGCTTCTTTTTGCTCGATTGAAACTTGAAAGAGAGAAGAAGGATTTGGGAGCTAGGATAGGCAGATTAGAATTGGAACAAAGGGAGCGGTGATGAAGGAGAATTGGCGGATGACGGACGTGAAGGGTTTCAAATTTAGGGATTCTTTTTTGTTTTCCATGGGAGGGTTTGGTGGGAAATAATGGTTTTCCTTTTATTTTTTTGTTTTGATTCATGTTAAAGTGATTGACGGAATGATATTTTAGTGTATTTTTAGTGAAGTGGCTATTATTGTCACAACGCGAATAATTATTACTATGGAAGTATATTTTACCTTTATTTTATTGCATCATGTTTTAACTTTGGCTTTAAGCCTTATTGTCTCTCCAAAAGCAAGTTGGCACACCTGGTGGAGCCAATGCTTAATGAGGTGGATCCGGCGTTCAAGTTGTCATGTGGTGCCAATCTTTGCCTATTTAAACCAAATGATAAATGAGAAACACTCGAGTCTATCTGCTTTGATTAACAAGAAAGTGAAGGAAAGATCCATGGAATCAAAATATGTAATAGAGCGTCCATTGTTTCTCACCTTTTATTTGCTGATGATTGTGTTTCGTTTGCAAGGGAAAATATTAACGAGGCTAAGAAACTCAAAGAGATTATGAGGTTGTATGAGATCGAGTCAGGGCAAATGGTTAATTTAACCAAGTCAGAGATCTACTACAACAGCAACATTAAAGGAGACAGGAGAGCGGAGATTTGTGCAGAAATGGGGATAAAAGAATTGGATAAGTTGGCTAAATACCTTGGCCTTCCTACTATGGTGGGAAGATCAAAGAAGGTGATCTTTCATAATCTTCAAGATAGAGTCAGAAACAAGCTCACCAACTGGAAAAACAGGTATTTCTCAGATGTTGGAAAAGAAAACTTAATTAAAAGCATTGCTCAAGCTCAGGCTACTTATGTCATGTCAGTTTTTAAGATCCATGATAGTATTGTGGATGATATTCATAGCCTTATGGCTAATTATTGGTGGGGGCAGAAAAGTTCAGAAAGAAGGATTCATTGGAAAAAATGGGGAAAACTGTGTAAAGGGAAGGAAGAGGGAGACATGGGCTTTAGAGATCTCAAGATCTTCAATAAAGCTATATTGGACAAACAACTCTGTAACTTGCACCTCAGGCCTGACTCTCTCGTGGCCAGACTTCTCAAGGCCAAGTATCACCCTAGATCATCCATCCTTGAAGCAAAAGTTGGCTGGAGACCTAGCTACATCTGGCGCAGCTTGATGGGGGCACATGTCTTTGGGTGATAAATGGGTGTCGAATCTGGATAACTATGAGGTGATCTCTTAATGTCCTTTTATGGAGTGGGATAAAGTGTCATGCCTCATTGATCAAGAGACTAGAACATGGAGACAAGATTTACTGGAACTTATTTTCAAACAGGAGGAACAACAGACTATAATGGCAATCCCTCTGTCATCATCAATGGAGAAAGATGTCTTATGCTGGACAAAATCGAAAAGTGGGAAGTACACAGTAAAGTCTGGATACTTTGTGGAATAAAGAAGAGTGGAAGAAGAAAGAAACAACGAGGCTACTTTACAGACCGAAGAAGGTTTCTGCTTGAAGGAACTTTGGAAACTGAACATGCCGGTAAAGCTAAAGACTTTTATCTGGAAGGCTGCTCACAACATTCTACCAATAGGAGATAAGATAAGTAAAAAAACTTAAAAGAATGGGGGATGAATGTCCTAATTGTGGTCTTAAGGAGACCCTGAATGTGGCTGGAATACTAGGATTTGGAGCAAAACTCCCATTGCAAACTTATTCTATAAAGCAGAAGGGCTCACCAGCAAAAAATGGGTCAGTTTGGTTCTGAAAAGTTCTTCAGGAAAGGAGGTGGCACAATTTTACTCCCTTCTCTGGGTTTTTTTGGAAGGAGAGGAACAATTTTGTATTCAATAACAAGATGCTCCAGGAATGGCAAGTCATCTCTAGAGGTGATGATTTTATACAGAGTTTTCTGGAAATGCAGGGGAAGGATCAAAAGGACAACCAGACAAATACAAGGAAGGACTGTAGATGGAGGAAGCACCCAGCTGGTATCCTGAAACTTAATGCTGATGCAGGATTCATGGGTAGAGAGGAAGTAGGACTTGGATGCATTGTTAGAGATTGGAATGGCGCATTAGTCTTTGCTGCAAGAAAAAGAGTCAAGCTTAAATGGTCATTAGACATTGCAGAAGGTATGACGATCTTGTTTGGACTTCAGCTGGTTAAGGAAAAAGGACTTGGCCTGTCAATTGTGAAATCAGATTGTCAAAAAGTGATCCACTTACTTAAGAACGTTGGCTGATGCAGAACACAATTGGGAAGTGTTTGCAGGAACATAAGGGAAGTGGCTTATGATCTCGATATTAGAGATTGGAGTTTCAAATTCCCGGAAACAAACAGAGTAGCTCACCAATTGGCTCGTTTTGTAGTAGATAATGAAGAAATTGTAGTTTGGGAACATTGCTTACCCACAGTGGTAGCTGATGTTGTAGCCCATGAGGCATTTTTTACTTGATTTCAATAAAATCACATCGTTTTACCCTAAAAAAGAGTCACTATGGTTTCATTTTCACCTCTCGTACCTTTCAACATGGTGTAAGAACCAGTAGACAACCCTAGCAACCTCCCGCACCGAATTAGGGTATTCCTCGTTTTCAGCTGACAAATATGAACAATTCATCATCCAAAACAAAAAAACAAAACTCTTAAGGCCAACAATCGATTGTCACACCCAATCTCTCTACATCTTCCCCAAATAAAAAATTCTAAAAGCCTCCCATTTAAATGAAGACAATGATTGGGGTTTAAGGATTCTGAGGGAAGTGATTGAAGAGGGTTCGAAACATTGGGAGAATAGTTTAGTAGGACAATTCATTAATCGGCCGACCTCGTTCTCGTCAATCAAGTATTGGGCGAATTGGCTATGGGGCAAAGCAGGTGAAAGTAGGGTGTCCTGGATGGGGTGGCGCCTTGTCTTGTTCCAATTCCCAAATACTGAGATCTATCAATGGGTCTTTGAGAATGGGCCCTGGCATCATCGAGGGAACTTGGTTTTCCTCCATAAATGGGATCCAGGAAAGCGGTTGCGGGCTGAGGCTTCTAGGATTGTCGTTGCCGGATATGGATGTTGACATTGGTAGCTCAGCAACAAGCCAAGCGGATTGAAGGCGTTTCAAAGAACAATGATAGGAAAAAGGAAAAATAGAAAGAAAAGAATGATTATGTCGAATATAGTTTGTTAGTAAGTAGGAAATTGAATTGACGAAGTAAATCTTATTCTTGCCCATAATTCCATCTTGGTCGGTTAGTCTTGTAATCGACTAATCCTTCAAGGTTGGAACTGTTTGGATGAGAAACCTGTGAATTTCCAGGGATACAAGGATTCGTCTGAATTGATGGCTTTCAATTTCCATGCGGGAAGGCGGCCGATAGAGAAACCAAAAGAGGAGGTTTTCAGCTTGAAGCCAAATCTTTGATGATTTGGTAGTGCAACATAAGTTTTCGATAGAGTGCCGGGGGATTAGAGGGACAAGGTGGGCATACATGGGTATTCATAGTTGCCCTGTTCTGGTCACGGGTCGGGTCACAACCCGTCTCATTTTAGGACGGAGTTGGTTTGGCCCGCCCAACACGAGCCAAATATGCGATTATCCGTTGGATCGGGTAGAAACTACCAACACTATTGACTATACACAGGGTATTAGGGCTAAAGATACAGTGCATAACCCATACCCATCAGTAACTAAATCTGGACCATTCATTCAGAAAATCCAGATCTAATGGTGGAGAATTAAAGACATTTTTATTTTTCTCTTGTTTTCTTGATCGGCTCATATCTTCTTTGTTTTAACTCGGATTTCAATTTTTTGCACATATGGAACGAGTTCATTGTGCTCTACAAAATGAGATCCATTTTCAATATTTTTATAGAAAAAAAATTCTTACCTCTCGGTACCAACTGCATGCCATATGATATCTTATTCGCTTTTAATTCGTTTTTGAAAATTTTTACACAGAAGGAACGAGTTCATCATGATCTATTGAAATAAGAGCATACCTATGGTATGAAAAGCGTACAATGGTGGTATGAACAAACCAAGAATGTAGGATGGTTGAATACATGATACCATATGGTATATACTGGTAATAAATGACTCAATTTTTTTTGTTTCAAAAATATATCGAAGTGGATATCATTTTAAAGAGCACAAATAATCTGATCTAATTGTGTATAATTATTCAGTTAGTCCGCTTCCGGGTATTAGCATCCTTACATTCTCTCCGGTTGCATTATCTTGTATTAGAAATGAGATTAACTCAATAAAACTAGACAGAAGTGGATTAGGAATTGGGAGACGGCGGTAAAGATATACTCTAGAGAACAGAGACTTGGACTGGGCCACATCGCCACCAGAGTAAGAAAGAAGCGAGCCGCATAGAAACGAAGACGACAGTTCTAGACGAGAGGCAGAGAGTAGAGATATTCAGACAGCGTTCTTGGTAGAAGAGAGAGAGAGAGAGAGAGAGAGAGATGAAGCCATGTAGTAGAGCGGGAGAAGAACAAAAAGAGCGATGAAAAGGAAGAAGAAAAGTTAAAGAAAATAGCCGATGATGATGGCGATTGTGATGATGAGATGGTGAATTCGAAGAAAAAGGGGGAAGAAGAAAGAAGTATTATTAAAGCTGAAATCAAGTGTTATCCACAATAATTAATTGTAAAGAAAAAAAGGAGGAGGAAGAAGGAGAAGGAGAAGGAGATAAGTTGCAGCAAGCGAACGAGCCTCAAGGAGCCCCAGGTCAAACGGGAGTAAACACCTTTACGGTTTCCCTCTCGCTACGTTTCTCTTCGCTTTAAGATTGCAATCGGAGGAGAGGATTCGGATGATACACCCGATCGTCGGAGGCGATCGGCCATGCTCGTCTGCGGGGGTTGTGTTGGAGGCGGTGGAGGCTGGTGGCGGCGGCGCTGGCGGAGGGAGTGAAGCCTGTTTTCCCAACTCGGTTGTCGTGGAAGTGGTAGTAGGTATTACTAGTATTAGCAGTACGGGTTGAAACGAGCTTGAGAAAGGAGGAAGACGACGATGAAGAGAGGGAAAGGGAGGAACAACGGCTTGTTGCCCCACTCGTTGAGGATCATCTCTTCTTGTCTCAAAACTGTATCTACAAACGCTACCACTGTTGCTTCCACTGTTCGTACCGCTGGCGCTTCCGTTGCTGCTTCCATTTCGGCTTCCGTGGAGGATCACAAAGATCACGTAGCTTTTTCTCCACTCTGTTTCTTCTTCTCTTCGATTCACGTTTTTTAAGCCAATCTAGTGACCTGATTTTGTTGGATGCGACTCTAGACCTAGAAGATACATTACCAGACTTGGTAATGTGTTGATACTGAGACGTTTCATATGAGATGAGTTTGTTCTACAGCTTGTGCTTTGTCTTCCATTTACTTCGGCCTGTGATGGTGAGATTAATTAGGGTTGCTTGTTAACTATGTTCTTAACGTGGGTGGACAAAATGAATTGACTTGGTATTCATTCAGTTCTATTCCTTTACTAGAGGAAAGGAAGTAATTAACCTCACCCAGTGGTTTGATACTAGAGCGATTTTCGTTTTGATATGCATACTGTGTGGATGGTATTCTGTCTTCTGTTGTTTAGTATTCTCAGTGCACACATGGATCTACATTTGAAACCTTCAATTTCCAACAGGTGACGTGGGCTGGATTTGACAAGCTGGAGCTTGGTCCATCTGCCTTCAAACGTGTTCTGTTACTTGGGTATCAGAACGGGTTTCAAGTGCTTGATGTAGAGGATGCCTCCAATTTTAGCGAGCTTGTGTCAAAGCGTGATGGTCCAGTTTCGTTCTTACAGATTCTGCCCTTGCCTGTGAAGTTGGAAGGCCTTGAAGGAAACATCAGATCATCACATCCTTTACTGTTAGTAGTGGCAGGGGATGATGCCCACAATTTAAACCAAGGTCAAGCTCCTAGCCACTTTTCTGGGCCTGGAGGGAGAGATGGTACCCATTCTCCTTCATCTGTTCGGTTTTATTCACTCCGGACTCACTGTTACGTGCGCGCACTAAGATTCCGCTCAGCTGTGCTTATGGTCAGATGTAGCCCTCGGATCATTGCTGTGGGACTTGCAACTCAAGTACGTTTTGGTTGCCTCAGTCGGTGTGAGTAATTTTGATAGTATTAGTAACCGACTCGGTTTCCTAATTTCTTTTTGTATGATGTCAGATATTCTGTATTGATGCTCTTACTTTGGAGAATAAATTCAGTGTTCTTACTTATCCTGTTCCTCAACTGGCTGGAGAAGGAGGGTCAACTGGAGTTAATGTAGGTTATGGTCCAATGGCTGTTGGTCCCAGGTGGTTGGCTTATGCTTCCAATAGTCCATTGTTGTCAAGCATTTGCCGCTTAAGCCCGCAGAACCATACTACTTCTCCTGGTGTTAGTGTATCCACTTCACCAAATGGCAGCAGTAGTTTGGTGGCCCGCTATGCAATGGAATCTAGCAAACATCTTGCTGCTGGAATTGTTAACCTAGGGGATATGGGATACAAGAGTTTGTCTAAATATTGTCAGGAGCTGCTTCCTGATGGTTCTAGCTCTCCAGTGTCATCTAACTCTGACTGGAAAATTGGTAGACGTGGAGGTTCTGATATGGACAATGCAGGAATGGTGAGTTTTTCTGTTTTAATCAAGGGAATTTTGTGGTAAATATTGTTTGATCATGCTTATGGAATTTAGTTGGGGTTGTCCAAGGTCACCAATACTGATTGTAATACTAGCTGTAGTTACATTTATGCTCTCCTGCACCATGAGAAAATTGTTTTTTAAATTTTATCTGACATATAAGCATGAATGCTGGATTGGTAGTTTGTTTGTAAGACATATGAGTAATGAGCTTGAGCTTAATGAAGTCTTTGGAGGTTGGATTCAATTGACGAAGACACGAAATGTATGAAGTAAAACCAAAATGATTTCTGCTTTGTTTATTGTGTGAATTGATAGCTTTCGTTGCTACTGAAAATATGATACCGGAGAAATCAACGAGCACAAAGTTTTGTCCGAGCTTAACCAATGACTTATTATGACTAACTGCAGGTAGTTGTCAAGGACCTTGTGTCACGAGCTATTATTACACAATTCAAGGCCCATTCGAGTCCAATATCAGCGTTATGTTTTGATCCTAGTGGGACCCTGCTGGTTACTGCTTCGGTTTGTGGTAATAATATAAATATATTTAGGATTATGCCGAGTTCCACGCAGAATGGCTCAGGTGCGCCAATCAGCGATAGAAGCTCATCCCATGTCCATCTTTACAAGCTACATCGAGGAATAACTTCAGCTGTTAGTATATGCCATTTTTTAGACTAGGCATTTTGGTTGTCTTCTGTTGTTTATGTTTGCTTATCATTGTTTTATCTGCACATTTTGACAGATCATCCAGGATATATGCTTTAGTCATTACAGTCAATGGATTGCAGTTGTTTCATCCAAGGGTACCTGCCATATTTTTGTTTTATCCCCTTTTGGTGGTGATTCTGGATTTGAGTCTCTTGGTTTTACCACGGACGAAGGACCCTCCCTTCACCCACTTCTGTCTCTGCCTTGGTGGTCAACTTCTTCTTGCACAATCAGTAAACATGGCTCTCCACCTCCACCTCCCATTTGTCTTTCTGTGGTGAGCAGAATAAAGTACAGTAGCTTTGGATGGCTTAGTAATACAGTTGGGAGTGTTACTGGCTCTTCTGCATCAGGAAAAGTTTTTGTTCCATCTGGTGCTGTTGCTGCTGTGTTTCATAACTCTGTACCCCAAAAGTCGATTTGTGATGACACCCCGAGGACCAGTTCCTTGGAGTACTTGTTAGTCTATGCTCCATCAGGTCATGTAGTTCAGCATAAACTTTTCCCCTCAATTGGGCCAGAAACCAGCGGAACTGGTTCAGGACCGCAACCATCTTTAATTTCTCATATACAAGATGACGACCTGAAGGTGAAGGTTCAACCTGTTCAATGGTGGGATGTTTGCAGAAGATCAGATTGGCCTGAAAGGGAGCAATGTATATGTGGCCAAGATGCTGCAGACACAAATCAGAGAAAATCTGATTGTGGGAATAATTCCAGTGTGGATTTTCTGGATATCAATGGAGATGCCAGTCAAAAGAACAAGAGGGCATATCTTTTGCAGTCTGATGAAAAATCTCATTGGTACCTGGCGAACGCCGAGTTACACATTGCCTCCTGGAGGTTCCCTGCTTGGGAAAAGTCTAAGGTATTTTTATTGTGCTAAGATCTCATGCCCATTTGGTTGCTACATCTTAGTTTGTAACTTTCTGGTTCATCTTTCTTGTAGATATATTTCTATGTGATGGATCCTCAACGAGTTGATAGTAATACGAATGATGAGTCTGAGATAGAAAAGGTTCCTGCCCATGAAATTGAGGTTAAGAGGAAGGAGTTACTACCAGTTTTTGACATTAAAAATTCTATCAAGCAAGGCTGGAATGAGAATGACAGGTGATGGCCACCTCGACACTTTCATTTTAGAAGCATCATGTTATATGGTTCTAGAGAAACTTTGTAGATTGGCTACCTTGCTCTATGGATGAATTTTATATGTTTACTGGGATTTGTAGTATTATTTCTGAAGCATTTTAGCCGTGAGCATTTGGAGAAAGAAAGAAAAGAAAGATTTACTGTGTGGGTTCTTTTTCCAATGAATTACTGTGAATTTTTCCTCTTCTGGAATAAGAGTTTTGGTGATTTTTGGTGCACGCTTTTCAAATTGTACATACGTATTTCTTCTTTTGATATAACTGTTAAGTATATTTAGTTGACATTTACTGCAACTATATCATTTCAACTTGTGAAAACTGGAGGACCTTTCCATGCCTATGCATAAGGGTTGCCAGCTAATATAATGACAGAGTTTGGCCTACTCCTTTTTCACATCATACAGAGGTGTCTAACACCATAGTGCGAGTGTCTGTTTTGATCAATGAACATGCCTTCTTACTGCCTATATATCATCAGCCTTTTTGTTCAGTGCTCTTGACCGATATGTTGAGTTTCATATGTTTTTGTTTTTATGCAGATCACTTGCTGGGGCGAAATATATTTTGCCATCAGTCTCTGATCATCATGAATCTGACGATGGCAAGAATCTGCAGGAGACTGTAATTTGTGACTCAAAGCCATCTTCCGGTTGTTCAACTGAAAGCTCAGAATGTGGTAAGATCAAACATGTTTCCTACAGTATTTTCTATGCGAAACAAACTGAAATTTATGCATGATATCTTCTCTTTTTTTTTTGTCTTCCAAAGTAGGGCACGATCTCTCTTGCTTCTAATCCCCATACATTCTTGAAATTTATCCTGTCCTATGTAGGTTCATCAAGAAGAATCGAGCATCTGCTTGATCTGGACCATATCAACTCTGAGAAGTCACAGATACCAACTTCTCAGTACTTGATTGACACCCACGAGGAAAACATAGAACATCATCCTTTTGAGTTTTGTAAATCTGTAAAGCATCCGGGTGCTCTTAGCGTTGATTTTTTGTTTCCTAATCACCCACTAAATGCAGATTCTCCTGTTCAAGGAAATACTGCCAGTGATATGCTCTCATTAGATGGTGACTTGCCTGCTGTTGGGAAGGTCACTTCTGAAGATGCAAGTTTGATCTCTACTAAGAGAGGTAATAAACCAAAGTTGAGTTTATCAATTTAATTATTAGTAAGCTCGAATTTAGTGACCGTCAATGCATGGTACTGGGTTATGGTTAGAGACTCTTTGCTCTTCCTAGTTCCTAGGATTCATGTACATATGGCTGCCGGTTTCCTCGGATGTTTAGTCGGAGTGTGTGTGGGAGTTTGTTGAAGAGCTTCCGGTCAGGTTTCCTTTCCACATTCTCTTTCCACTCTGAGTTTGGGTCTTCTGAATTAGTAGCAGCGCTTAGTACGTAGAAATTTGATTGTGCTCTTTCTTTCTATTATGTTCCCTTTGTTTCTATGACTTAAAGGTTCCCTTCAGTCACAATGGCGTTAAAGTCCTGGGTCTCCGTTTCATCTTCATGGTTGATTGTGTCATTACATTTTCTTTAGGGTTTAGTACGTTGAAGTTCGTTGGTAATAAGAGATGAATCTTTGTAAATGCTCCATGATCTTGACAAACTGATTTCCTTGAGAGGAAAAAACTGCATAGCAGATTATGATGACTATATCAAGGCCACTGTAAACCCTAACAAAAGATCAAAACACGATCAACCTTGCAGTGCCCCAAAGCACTGGAATGACTCGTGTATGAATTCCTGAAAGACTGGGGACTCTCTAACCATAACCTCGCTACTGATCGTTCTTTTCTCGTATTATTAGGTTAGTAAAAAATAAATTGAGATCACTAACAAACCGGTCGTTGAACTGGCAGATGGAGCAGCGAATTTTACAGCCACTGGAATGATAGTAGGATTCGAGCTGTCTCTCAACGAGGGTCTTATTACCAATGAGGGACTCCATGGATCAGCCGATGTCAGTGGTAATAATCTGGAATGCAGCAGTAATCGCAGATAGGGATGAGTTTCTTGGTGGCATGTTTGCATTTCTATAAGAAGGTAATTGATGCTTCCCTCGAGCATTTTTCTTCGTTGATATACGATGCTGAAGTCGTTGGTCTGTTGGCCATTGTGGCAGGTTGATGTCCCATATCCATCCTACTTGAAAGTGTTGTATTCGTCTGTTGTGCAAACAGCAGGCAGAGAGAGCCCTGCGTGTAAATAACACTGCTTTCGTCCCTTTTTTACTGTGTTGAGTGGTGGAGTAGGATTCGATTCGGGTGGCTTGTTTCTTTCCCCAGAAGATACGTTTGACCCTTCACTTGTACGTATGGGATTCAGCGTGAGCAACTTGTACATATTGTATAGTTCTTATAGTTATCTGGACGTATGGATTGTGAAATTGTATCAACGGGAAAACGAGACGGATTTTCAGGGTTCCTTGATGTAAAAATGGAGGTCTATCTGGGTTGTCTCGTCATGACATGTAAATGATATAAGAGACTAGACAAATTCGATTTTTTTCTATTCAGTCTGTCAACATAGATTAACATTGTTACGTAAAGATCATAACTCATTTGTTTTACAGATTTTGCACATAAGTATCAGATTTTGTGTACTCTACAAGATCCATTTTGATATATTTTTTAATAAAAAAATTGCGGGTCATCATATCATATAACGATGTTATGTATCATAGATTGCTTTGATACAATGGAACGACATGATTTGAACTCGTTAAAATTTATGAACGAAAAATTACAATACCATGTGATTTGTTAATGATGAAAATTTGACTATTATACATTTTTTTCTGTCAATACATCAATCCCATGTATTATTCATGATATACAAAATAAATGTATCAAATACGAGACGAGATTTTAGTAAACGAGCTTAATTCGAGCTCAAGTCGACCTGTCCATTAACAAACGAGGTTAGCTCAAGCTTGACTCGTTTATTAACAAGCCAAATTCAAGATAGAGTAAAACTCGATTCGACTCTACTCATTTACAGTCCTACGTTTCACTTTTTTTTTTTTTTTGTCAAATTTAGCGGTATCAATTCAGTCATAACAGGAAGAAAGTAAAGTGCGGGAGTCGACTAATCGCCGAACCCCCGATGAAAGGGCTTTAATTGCCACAAGATGGGCAGCCCTATTAAGTCGACGTGAGACAAAACAGTATGAAATCCAGTTAAGCTGAGACGCCAATGCCCTTGCATCTTCTAGAATTGCACCACTCCGCTCATGTGCCAAGTCATTCCTCGCCATCCGATGCATCAATTGTTGAGAATCACCATGAAATTTCACATGTAAGAAACCATGTGTTAAACACCAATGTAAAGCGTCTCGGAGGGCCAAGCATTCCATGACAAAGGGATCAGATAAACCAGCATATGATTTGCCAAATGCAAATAGGATCGTACCTGAGCCTTGGAAGCCAACGAAGCCTATACCGCCGCCTAGACCCCGTTTCGCCGCTCCATCAACCCAAACATTAATGGGGGTAGGAAGAATTGCAGTCCCTGTCGCTTCCGAATTCCCAAGGCCTGCTGGAGATAGTCGCGGGCCGCGAGTGCCCTGATTGCTTGTCGGTCTGGTCTGCTCCGCATCCCGCCATTCAGTCACTTGGTGTTGAAGTTGTCGATATAGCGCCGGGGGTAAGTACTGGGTTAGAGCATGGACTGACCAGCAGCGAGCCTTCCAAATGCGCCATAAGACAAAGACCACAAAAGCTATGTCACTTGTGGATAGGTTCCGACCGAAGAATAGATGCTTCCAAGCATCTCCCGGGGGCAACGCGCCAAGAGCAACTCGTAGATCTTCACATTCAGCTAGCCGCCAAAGGTCTCTAGCAACCCTGCACTCAAAAAAGAAGTGGGTGAAGGACTCCGGTTCTGCGTCACAAATCGGACAAACCGTGTCCTCGACCAGGGTCTTAGTAAAAAGCACTGATTTCAATGGTAAGAAGCCCCGGACAGCCCGCCAGAAGAAAAACTTCAGCTTCGGTGGCAACGGTAGACTCCAAAGCAATTTCCAAAACCGAGTATCAAACGGGAGGGCGGCTGGTGGGTGACTAATATTATGCTCCGACGAGAGTAGGTGATAACCTGTCTTAACAGTAAATACTCCAGAAGGTGAATAATGCCAAATTAATCTGTCATTCATAAGAAAGCAGGGAAGAGGAATAGACAGAATAAGATCCACACATGAAGAAGTAAATAGAGTTTCCAAAAGTTCCTTATTCCACACGTGGGACTCTTGGCAAATTAGATCAACGACAAAAATGGGACAAGCTGGTGCACCTGGCTTCAAAACTGGACATGATGGGGGGGTGGATGGGAGCCAAATATCTTGGAGTACCCGGATCCTTTTGCCATCCCCAACCTGCCAGCGTAGACCCCTCTTAAGTAGCTTTTGCCCTTCCAAAATACCTTGCCAAGCCCAGGAAGGTCGGGATCCTGCTGTTGCTTCCAAGAATTCCACATTAGGATGATAGCGCGCCTTGTAGATTTGTGCAAGGTGGCTGGTGGGATTATGAAGAATGCGCCACGCTTGTTTCGCCAGTAATGCAATGTTGAACCTGTTAAAATCTCGAAATCCAAGTCCACCAGCAAATTTGCTCTGACAAAGGGCAGTCCATGAAATCCAATGAATGCCTCTTTCCTTGTCCTGCCCTGCCCACCAGTATTTTGAAAGCTGGCCATTACATCGACGACATGTTTCCTGAGGAAGACGAAATGCCGACATAGCATAAATAGGCCCTGCTGCCCCTATAGCCTTAATTACCACTTCCTTCCCTGCTAATGATAGTGATTTCGCCTTCCAATTCCGGATGCGAGCAGCTAGTTCCTCTTCAATAAACTGGAAAGTCAAAGACTTGGAGCGACCGATTTGAGAGGGCAGCCCAAGATATTTATCCTCCGCCTGCAAAACATTCACCCCTAGGAAAGAGCTAATAGCTTGTAATTCCTGATTAGAAACATTACCACTCACACAAACCGCAGACTTGTTTAGATTAACTCGCTGCCCACTGACTAGTTCATAGTCAGCTAGAAGCTGAAGGAGTGCGGCACATTCAGGAATAGAGGCTCTAAGAAAGAGGTAAGAGTCGTCTGCGAAAAATAAGTGAGATAATGGAGGGGCAGACCTGTGTATTCTTAAGTCATGAAGGGAGGAAGAGGCTACCTCTTGCGAGATCTTTGCAGCAAAGGCTTCAGTATAGATAGCAAACAGCAATGGAGATAGGGGGTCTCCTTGTCGTATACCTCGTTGGGGTTGAAAATAGCCATATTGTGCTCCGTTTAGAAGGACTGAGAAGTGGACAGTGGTGACACATGACTTAATCCAACTCATCCATTTCTCACAGAAGCCTAGGGAATGCATAACCTGAAACAGAAATTCCCACTCCACTCGGTCATAAGCTTTCTCCATATCGATCTTGAGGGCCATCCATTTATCCTGTCCCCGGATCTTGGTCTTGAGGAACTGCATTACTTCTTGGCCAATCAAAATATTATCAGATATACATCGGCCTTTCACAAAACCATTTTGAAAAGGATTTATAATCTGAGGGAGAATGGAACTTAGCCTGGCGGATAATATTTTGGCAATGATCTTGTATAGGACCTGGCAGAGGCCAATAGGCCGCATTTGTCTCATAGAGTCTGCATTTGCCACCTTAGGGATGAGAGTAAGCAGAGTGTGATTGACACTATGCAGCAGCCGCCCTGTTTGAAAAAATGAGAGAAGGGCCTCACATACATCAGCCCCTATCTCTGCCCAGAATCGTTGATAAAAGCCTGCAGTGAACCCGTCAGATCCTGGGGATTGGCCTTGTCCAATGGTAAAGATTGCCTGTCTAATTTCCTCGCGGGTAACCTGTCGAGTAAGCATAGCATTCATAGAATCTGAAACTTTAATGGGGAGATTCAGATTTTGGACAAAAGCAGAAGGATCGACACCATTTGATGAAAATAAACACTCGAAAAAGGATACCGAAATCTCCCCTTTGACTGGCTCCGCCGAGTGAAGGTCTCCCTGCTCATCTCGCAGGCGGGCAATGTAGTTAGACCGTCGCCTTTGCATCGTGACCAGGTGGAAAAAGTGAGAATTAGTGTCGCCACCATGCAGCCAACTAGTCCTCGATTTTTGCTCCCAAAATAGTCTTTCCTGATGGTATGCTTCCCCGAGCGAGTTCTCCAGTTGTTTGATGAGTGGCCAATCAGCTGTCGGCGCCTCCCTGGCATTGTCTATCGCCTCCCTGAGCTCTCGAATCTTCCTGGCAGAGTTAGTTGTACCTGCCTTCGCCCAATTCAGAAGCTGGTGGCGAATCTGTTTCAGTTTAGTTTGTACCTTGAACATGGGTGTGCCAGCTGCCGGTAGACTCCATGCCGTATGAACTAAAGCAGGAACCTCTTCATTGGAGTTCCAGCGGCTGTCATAATGAAACCGCCGAGTGTTCCTAACCTCCGATCCCTCAAATTTGACCAGCACCATTCGATGGTCGGACCCCCGGTCCGATAGATGATGTACCTGGATTTCTGGCCACAAAGAGAGTGAAATGTTATTGCCTAAACAACGATCAAGTCGAGATTGGATATGGTCACCATTTGATTGGCGATTTGACCATGTAAATGCCGGTCCAAGAAAACCTAAGTCATGGAGTCCCCCTGCATCCAAAAATAGGTTTAGTTGTGCAAGTGCAGTGGGGGTGGGAGGTCTCCCTCCCTGTTTCTCAATGCTGGACAATAAGCAATTAAAGTCCCCAAGGACTAGAACTGGATCCTCATACAAAGAAATGAGATAGGAGATTTCATTCAACTGAAATTGACGCGGGGCTACATCACAATGTAAATGAACAAAGACTACAGCAAATCGCCCAAGAGAAGGGTGCTCACACTCTAAGAACATAAAACCTGATGCCACTACTGAGATAGAAACTTGAAGACTCGAAGACCAAGCAATCGCTAACCCACTACCATTATTAGACACACTATGTACACGATCCTCCGGGAAGCCGAGGTAGCCAAGGTTTTGTACCACAAATGCATCATCCTTCCTAGTTTCACTTAAGCATACCAGAAGAGGAGACTCCTTAACTAAAACCTCCTTGAGTGCTGGAATTGTCAGGGGAGCCCCCAACCCCCTGCAATTCCATGCTAGGATGCTCATGGATCGGTTTGGGACCGATTAGGGCCGGCTGCCTCCACCCCAGAGTTGTTTGTATTCTGTTCCTGGATTTGAGTCTCCAGTCGAGCCTTCTTTGCCTTCTGTACCAGCGGGGATTGGATGTCTGTGCTTTGATGGCACCCAGTTCCCAAAGGAATGCTCTCCGGATCAGCTGTCGCGCCTGTGATGCAGAGTTGGCCCAGCTTTGATGCCATTCCAACCTGGACAGGGGCTGGCAGCAACGTTTCATCGTGGAAAGCTGTCTGAACAGGTCTCTTGGCCAGGCGAGGAATCGCTTTCTGCCCACCAGGTCGATTACCAGCCAGGGTCCACACAAAACGCTTGCGACGGCGAGCAAGCGTGCCTTCGTTCACCCTTGGACCGAATTCCCGGGCTACCAGCTCTTTGCCATATCGAGGAGCCAGTCCCGACAGTTCGTCCTTCCGTGGGCAGAACCTGTTGACATGGCCAACCACTCCACATAGAAAGCAGAATTGGGGTAACGATTCAAATTTTACCTTCGCTTTGAACTGCCCCTTCGATGGATCAACATGGGAGGCAGTTACTTCATCAGGCAGAGGATACTGTAGGTCCAGAGTGACCTTCGCCCGGATGTAAAGCCCTCCAGAGGACGCCGAGCGGTGGATGGCGGCTGGCTCCGACGGTCCCAGTGCTTCCCCAAGCATTGTGCCAAGGCGCTCCGTGCAGCAGGAGTACGGAACACCCCAGATTTGGATTAGCAGGGGGACACGCATAAGGTCCGCCGCCAGTTCTGCTGTAGGAGATTCCCATTTACGGGCATGAATCAGGAACTTCTCGAACACCCACGGCGAGCCGGAACGGATGCGTTCAGCCGTGTCTGCAGACGGGAAAACAAATTGGAGCAGATCCCACTCGGTAACCGCCACCGAGAATTCACTCTTCCATACTCGCCCAGCAATCGACCTCAACGTCGATAGGGAGGGAAGAGGGCCGCAAAGGCGTCCTACCAGAGTCTGGTCGATGCGCAGAGCACCCACTGCCACATCTGCATCATCGAATTGAACGGCAGCCATGGTTCTGGGCACAAGAGGTGAAAATCGACAGAGGAGTTCGAACGGGATACTCTTGAGGCCAAAAGTACTGTGAAATCTGGGCAATCGACAGGAGAAGGGGCCCCCTTTTATCCTGTGGCCGCCGCGGAATGGCCGGAAACGGCCGGGCACGATGACGGAAACCGCCATCGCCATCGGCGCACGAATGCGCATACCCTAACCACTCGCCAACGTGGGGAGAGAGGAGGGAGGATTCTTTCTTTTTTTTTTTTTTTTTTTTTTGTCAAACTTGGAAACCCAAAAAAATCTCCGGAGACCCTACGTTTCACTTTTGCTAATTAAATTTTTTAGCATAGCCAATTTGAAACATAGTGTCACGTGTGATCACATGTAATGAGATTCAATTGATAAAAGGGACTAGATAAATTCGAATTTTATCTATTCAATCTCTCAACATAGACACCGAAGAGCTTATATCAACATTAGGAAAAATATACTTCTATAGCTATAATTTTTATCTTTGTGACAAAAATAATCAACTTTACAAAAATCACAAGCATAGCTAGATTTCCGTAAGGTAAAATCGGAGGTCTATCATACTTGTCGCCACAGGTTTCAACCGATAAAAAGACTAGATAAATTCAAATTTTATCTATTCAATCTCTCAATACAAACACCGAGCTTAGATTAATACTAAACAAACACTTTTATAGTCATAACTTTGATGTTTGTGACAACAATAATAAAATTTTAAAAAAATCACAAATATTGTCAGCTTCGGGATGATCGTTGGAAAAATATAGTCATTTCGTCACAGTATAGTTAGTGATGTTGACTAGACTAACCATTTAGGTTGATTGGTGATGTCTTAACTTTGCAATCTATTAGCCACATCAAATTTGTTTACTTTACATCTGTATAGCCAAAACTTTGATTCTAATGACAAATATAGTCAATTTTGCAAAATATAATCATGACTAAATATAATTTTCATATGAGCCGATTATCGTCTCATCATCTTAGTGTTCTGGGAGCATAAAATAATGTGTCACATGAACATATAATTCCAAATTTGATGCAACAACTTCTTAGATCACAAATCGACGCTCGTCCTCCTTGAATTTATCCCCATCCTCGCATCGCCCTCTTCCGTATGCTCGAAAGGTTCACTAGACGCACTACTAGATTGCATACCCAATGTATCATCTTCCTCTACTATTGGTCTAGCGAGCTCGACACTTAACTCACCAAACTCGCAATTTAGATTTTGCGTCATAAAATCTGGTAGCATATCAACTACAACATCATCGATAACATGAATATTGTATGACAAAGTTCACCATTTCTTAGCAATTTTGGTTGCATGGATGTAAAGACCATTATTGTATGTTCTACCCCTTTTTTTGTTGTAGATAGGAGATGATTACTTCGTATAGTTGCTTATATTTTAGATGACCACAAACTTGTAGTTTGAAATTCGTACCACTAATGAACCTCAAACCTAACTTGAGCTCTTCTCTTTTAACTCCCCACCAAACGAGTTCAAAAGTTTGAAGATAATCACAAAACAAAAAATATAACACAATAAAATTAAGTATTAACTAATTGAAACACACAATTTCAGGAAAACATATATACACTAAGTAAATACAAAAAGTGTATTACACACCTCTAATATGTGATAATTTTAAGTGGTTGGGCAATTGAAATGCATGAATATTGTTGCAGTGATATGTGCAAACAGCAAATATGAGAGACGACTTGGAAAGGAAGATGAGGAAGTAAGGTAACATTGAAATTGGAAAAAGAATGTGAGAGTTGAAAATGGTGAAGGACGATGTTATAGTTGAAAATATTAGAAAAGCATGTGTGAAAATCAGGGAGATATGATCTCTTATTTATATGAAGAAAAAATTGACTTTTTTTTAGTTATTTATTGTCAGAAGATTTGTAATTGACTAATTGTTTGTATGTATTAGCGGTTTGGTTATTTTTAGCTACTGGAAGTCAGAACGTGCTAGCAGTAACCTCAAATTAGACGTGCAGTCACGCCTTGTTGGAGGTTATTGTCACTTGAATCTGTCTTCCAACGGCTAAGAAATAATTCTGAGCATCTACACCTAAATTTAACTAAAAAATAAAAATTATCTCAAAAGCTAAATCGTGAGCTACATTTTAATGAGCAAATTTTAGACACAATATCTTCATAGTTTACTTGTCCCTTATAAATTTGGCGGATAGAAGTAACTAGGCAAACACGGAAACCCATACAGCAGTGGAGCCATTGACATGGACAAATTTCTCGCCTAAAGCAAGACAAGAACAGTTCTTAGTTCTTACTAGACCACCACCACAAAAGCAAACAAAACTCTTATATGCTTTTTGCAATGTGCTACAAAGATACTTCGTTTATTTCACCTTATCACACTCTTAAATCTTGCCAAGATCAGCTCAAGGCAACCTAGGACAGCAACTACAAAGAGTAATTATAACATTCACACACACAAAAAAGGCCTTGTACAACAATCACTCTTCAGCCAGCTTCTTCTTCTTCTTCTTCTTCTTCTTCTTCTTCTTCTTCTTCTTCTTCTTCTTCTTCTTCTTCTTCTTCTTCTTCTTCTCTACATAGGAATCGATCCACCAGCGCTGATTATCTGCTGCTCCAGCTGTAAAGCCACAAAGAACAAAGGGAGCTCAGACAAGATTGCAGAACATAAACCATCTCCTGGTGATAGTTACAAATGAACATCATAGGAGAACAATCCCATTGGAAGTTCTATGCATAGAGGTGGTTTTATGATAAAAACTAGAAATTAGATTGTGTCGAATGCGGGTGTGATGAGTGTTCCGAACCAGTTACCAAACACAGTTGCAGAAATTTTGTCTTTTGAATGGTCAATATATCTTTTTCCTTTTAACCACATAGACATGTTGAATGATGATAATTTCCACCCAACTTACCCTGAACAGAGTCTGGAGCTTGTTCTTCAACAGAACACACTCACGATTCACTTCTTGTAAACATCGCATACACCTGAAAGCAACAGTCTTGAGTTCAATTTACACTCCAGAAAGTAACCATTGTGACGGACTGGTATACTACACATATTGTTGCCTCTAAACACTCAAATTCTACATACCTCCCCAATGATTAGAAATTGTATAAGCAGAATAGTTATATCTACTTAACTAGGGTTTCTTATGCAGAATGACTGGAGAAAGAACTCACCCATCCCGGTTTTGTGAATCGCAACAAGTTTTAAACGCGACGCACAGATTCTTAATCCTTGCTGCCCCAACACTGGTTCACCATGGAAAGGAAACTCAGTAAGTGGCCAACTAAAAGAAACAACAGATAGCAGCTTTTCTTCTCTCCAAGTAGTAGTAGCAGCAGCAGCAGCAGCAGGATCTGTTTACCTGGAACTACTACCCTTCAATTGATGAACACTGGAATCGACCTGTTTGAAATCTACAGCCTGCAGTTCGCTGACACACCGCAAAAGGAAATTCCCTCAGAGAATCAGCCATCAAGCTCTCAAAATTCGCGCAGAAGGGAACAATCCAAGTTACAAGAAAAAACTCACAGAGCTCTGGCCATGTTGGTAACAAGCTTCTGACAATCTTCAAAGAAGAGGGACACAACTTCCATCACGAAATCAGGGCTGCTCTCATCTTGCAGTTGCTGAAGCTGAGAAAACTGGTCGTCTAGAAATCCCTAATCGGCGAAAAGAACCGGAATTGCAAATGAGTCAAAGCAAAAGATCCCCTTTTTAAAATAAAAACAACAAACAAACGATCCGCCTCCGCCATGGGTAACAGAGAAATTCAACCAGAGCAATCGAAATCATATTCCAAACCCAGTCCAATTCGATTCCGTTCTCAAACCAAGTAAAGCAAGCGAGCAATCTATTAAAAGGCATTTGGAAGAAGGAAACGAAGACGCGAAGATTGAAGTTTGACTGACATCGCGATGCAAGGAGTTGGTGTAGTCAGCGAGCTGGCGACGCGATTGGGAGAGAACGTCCATGGCGGGTGGCTGATGAGTAACTTGCTGCTGCTGCGTGCTAGTTATGCCGCCATGATTTGGAGGTGGACGGTAATGGTGGAGAGGCATCGGGAAAACGCCGCTGAGCAGAAGCGTAGCAGAGGCTAAAGTTGAAATTTGAGTTAGTCGATTGGGTGAACGAATCTTTAGTCCTGTGTGATTGATTAGAGAGAGTTTTCATTTTATGGGAAGGAATTAAAAAAAGGGAATTGGATTCGGGGGAAGTGACAGTGAATTTCCATCTATACAATCTTGCAAAGTTGACGTCGGAACAAATATATGAATGCAGTTGGTCGGTCAGCAACCGCAAGGAGACAGCCAAAGAGTAGGGTTGGTTACGGGTTTTTTTGCGTAATAGCCATCGAATCGCGACCGTGTGGTTAGTGGTTAATCGCAAATCATCCTCAAATTTAAAGGACATGTTTCGTATTTTTTATGATTTGATTATACCGTTGAGATTGTTGCTATAATGTCTGGTTCGTCGAGAAGTGTTGCTGGTCAGACAAGGTGCGGACCTGTTTTCCTGTAGCTGGGCACTTGCTTTCAGGGAGGATTTTGGAGAAACCAACCATTGGATCCTCCTCAAACTATGAGAATTGGTTTGAAACTCATTTTAAGTTAGTTTGGTCGTCGGGATTAATGTTCTGAGTTCTGGTTTGTTGGAAGAGAGGGTGTGAAATTGGTTTAAACTCCTTCAGCTGGAAAACTTAAAAAACAGAGCACAAACGCGTTTTTGATCGTTTTGTACCGCTTTTTTATAAGTTTTTACACATAATACATTTTTATATAGAAACTGAAGCGTTTTGCCTAGTCAGATTGGTAAAAAGATGCATTTATGCATTTGTTACTATACATGTATTGTTTAGAATGCATGTTTTTTTTTTAGCAGAAACAATACATGGATTGTTTATGTGATGTGACGAAAACTATCACTCATAATGAGTGATTGTTATATCTCAACTTTTAGCCGGGATTGTTGAGATAATTGAGTGGGATTGTTTTGTCTAAACTTTTAGTTAGTGTGACATACACAATTACACATACCAAACATTGTATTTTACAATATATCAAAATCGACGTCCTAAACATTTTAATCGTAACCATAGAATACGACCCTAATCGAAATGCATACATTTGTCTCATACACTATGGGGATGGTGAGAAGAGATATATTTTACATCTCAGAGGGGCTATAATTGGAGATACCATTATTTCTGGTACAGAAGTTCCTATAAAAATGGGAAATGCCCTACCTTTGAGTGCGGTTTGAACTATTGATTTACGTAATTGGAAGTAACCAATTAGGTTTACGACGAAACCTAGAAACGTGAAAGAAGCGAGAAGAAGGTAGCCCAGATAGCCTAGATGATCATTCTCAGCCCAGCCCAGAAAATCTAAATCCCAAAAGCCCAAACCCAGCCCAGGTTCTGTAGTTTCAAAGAATCGCCCCGACACCCAACTAGCACAGTGCATCTTTCCTCGACCTCAAACGAAGCCCTCCTTCCTTTCTTACTCCGCAGTCATCGCCGTCGTCTCTAGGGGGATTTTTCTACTCCGTTGCGCAATCAACCGGCTGCTGCTTCGCCGTCGTCTATTCGTTCCGCCGGCATACTTCCCTTTGCCGATAAAAGACCTCTCCCTAAAACCCTACAAAAACTCCACCATGCCCATTTCATCTACCGCGCAATGAAGCGATTCTTCAAAATCTCGGAATCCGAGCAGCTGCTCTCGCTCCACCACAAATCCCTTGCCCAACCAACATCAGCGCTAACTCCTTACTCCCTCGCCTTCACCAAATCCCCCGCTTACCCCTCTGGCCGGAACACCGACGGCCCTTCCGCCGGGACTTCTCGCAGCGTTTATGAGCTTTTCATCGACAAATTCTCTCTCGCGGTTGACAACAGAGGCAGGCAGATCCTCGAGGAGAAAGTCTCCCGCTTGGCCGACACATTGGTTCTACATGCCGACGACTTCGATAAAGTCGCCGGGGTTTTGGAGGAGTCCGGCCGCTCCTTGCTCCGGAGGTATAACGATGGATCCGCTTTCCTCGAGTTGTTGAAGATTTTGGGTCGTTCCTCGCCACAATTCGCTCTTGAGGTCCTGGTTTTTATCTGTCTTGTTGTGCAGAAATCCCTTTGCATTGTTATTCTGCTCGTTCTTCTTGAATGGAATTGTCAAAAAGTTTCAAAATTTCTGATTTTTGCAGGTTTTCAACTGGAGAAGGGCAAATGCGGACTGGGGCATTCCCTTGACTTCTGAGGAGTATGCCAGGGCTATTGCACTTGCCGGTAGGGTAAAGGATGTAGTGTTGGCAGCTGAGCTTTTCTACGAGGCTAGTAATAGTCGCATCAGGACAACTGCAATATATAATGCGCTGATGAGTGTTTATATGATCAATGGTCTTGCTGATAAGTGTCAATTATTGTTTACGGAGTTGAAAAGGGAACCAAGTTGTGCGCCTTCAGTTGTAACATATAATATATTAATATCGGTTTATGGTCGATTGTTACTGGTCGATAAGATGGAGGCTGCACTCCAGGAGGCAAAGGATTTGAATTTAGCTCCTAATGTGAGCACTTACAACAATCTAATTGCTGGTTATTTGACTGCTTGGAGGTGGGATAGCATGGAGAAAATTTTCCAAAGGATGAAGTTGGATTCCGTCCAGCCTGATGTTCAGACCTGGTTACTAATGCTTCGAGGCTATGCACATTCTGGGAAGTTGGAGCTAATGGAGAGAACATATGAGTTGGTGAGAGATCATGTTGATTTCAAGGAACGTCCTTTGATCAGTGCTATGATATGTGCTTATTGCAAGAGTTCTGTTCCGAATAAGCTGAGTAGAATTGAGGCACTGGTTGGCCTTATTCCGAAGGAGGAGTACAGGCCTTGGTTGAATGTGTTGCTGATTAAGGTCTATGCACGAGAAGGTTGCTTGGAGAGGATGGAAAAGTCTATTAATGAGGCGTTTGAACGCCAGACCATTGTAACAGCTACTGGTGTGATGCGGGCAATAACTGGGGGTTATTTCAAATATGATGCTGTTGATAGACTTGCTAACTTCATCAAACGTGCAGAAACAGCTGGGTGGAGAATGTGTCGGAGTTTGTTTCATGGCAAAATGGTCCTGTATGGATCAGAGAATCGATTGAAGGAGATGGAGAATGTGCTTTCTGAGATGGATAATGTCAACTTGGACTGCACGAAGAAAACATTTTACATATTGTACCGCTCCTATTCATTGTGGGATCAAAGGGATCTTGCCAAAAAGATCATAGGATTGCTTTACAAGCGTGGACACGGGATTCCTGCTGACGCTTCTTTGTCATAGACTTGAACACATCAATGGATTTCCTTCTGGGTTATGTGCATCTCGATTTGTGGAGGGGACTTTCCAACTGATTCTCCCCATACACAGTGTGATGGGATCAACGATCTGACTTGAAGGTACATTTCACTTGCTTCTTGAGGAGTTATAGTCACTGTCTTGTATGCTTGGCAGTTGGGATGCTAATTGACTGTGTATCTGATTTTTTCCACCGCTATACCACTCCTGTCTAAAGTCAACATTTCCAGGGGTGTCAGGGAGTCCTTTCTTCGATGAATGAGCAGTTTTGCCTGGATCTTGACATTATTAGTTTCCTTTTTCTTCCTTTTGTCCGTAAATTTCTTCTATGAGGAAGTATGTTTCTTTGTGAATATTTTTAACTCCTATCAAGGAGTTCCTCTGTGACATAGAATACACGATTTATTGCCTCCTGATTTCCTTTTTGAATAATTCTTGAATCTTGATTGAGGATATGCTTAACTGAATTCGTAATTTCCTATGCTCTCATTGAAGGCATGGTTCTTCAAATCCCTACTTTTCTTTTGTTTTCTTTAATTTTCATGCTACTATCTCAAACAAGAAACCTGCATTTCCCATATGTTTTTGTGTTGCGTAAAATATGGGAAAGTGGCTCTGGATAGCACTTAAAAAAAAGGTGACTACAGAATACATATAGTAGAGCAGAAACCTGAAGGTGGTTAGTTGGTGTCTAGACTTAGATTTCTGTTTCTTAATGGCAATGTCTATCACAGAATAAAATGCAAATTAGGTACAACATAGGGAAGGTGACAAGAGCAATGTAAGTTGCTGAAGAGGATCCTGGTAGTAAGTCTTTTTGACACAAACCCTGTGGAAGTGAGATGCACTAAGGAAGATAATTGAAAATGTGGGATAATTTGGTCCTTTCTTTGAATTAAATTGAGTTGGCATTGTACTGGATTAAGCAAAATACTTCTAGCTTTCAGATTTTAGCTTCTGGATTTGTTTGTAAAGTCTTTCTAGTAATGGGAGTAAAAGCTGATTCAACTTATTTATTTCTTATGAATTAAATGTAGTTTGAAAGTATGATTTATAAGCATCCATCAGAGTAGAGATACACATGAAGTCCTCTGCAATAAATAATGATGTCAATTTTTTCAGAAAGCGATTGTGCTTGCAATATACTAAAGTTAAATAGCAAGCTAGAGGGCAGCTTGCAGTGCGAGGACGGGAGTAAGATGCAGAAAAGCTTCTGCTAAACAATGGACAGATTGTAAAGAATGAGAAGGATCTTAATTCTTAAGTAGATGGATGGTTAAGCATCGGAAGGAAATGTGAGCGGAGATATTAGAAAGAAAGACAGGTTGGCAGACCTTTTGGTTATTAGATCAGAAGCTAGGAGAAACAATAGGAAGAAGGCGTGCGAGTGTGCATGCGTAGATGTTATTAAGAAGCAACTAGGGTCCTGAAACCACACAGGTTTGCTAGCACGTCAGAGCAATCTGAAATGTGAATGGTGGTTTGTTCCCATGTTTTGAAGGACGTTTATGGGTTCAATCTATACACATGAATTGGCGCATATCTTTGTGCAGCTGGCTACTCAAATGCTTGACATCCTCTTTTTATGCTTTGCAGAAAATTGTGTAATCAATATATGGTTGCAGATCCCAGGATCCAGACCCATCAAACATTTTTGCAGAAAGGTAGAAAAATAACATCAGCAAGGATATGACCAGTGCATGAGGGTTGTTCCGCAGAAAATTGAGCTTTGCCTTCTGGTTGCCCCTCCTACGATCTATGATTAAGAAGTAAATTGAATTGCTCCTCGGAATTCGAAAAGACTGAAGAGGCTGTTAGTTTGGGCAAGGTCACGAACTTCTCGCTTGTGGTCGTTTATAGCATCAGGGTTTCCAGGTCACTGGAAGTTGCTATGCTGCTCTCTTTTTTTTGTGCGTGTATACTAGGATGCTGATCTTTGAAGGAAATACTAAAATACTGACTCAGAATTCACCAGTCCTATTTCTTCTTGCTCTTCCCAAATCAACAAAAGTTGTGTGCTCCTCACTGTGCAAATGTAAGAGCTCCTTTTAGCAGGTGTAGGAGCGATATACAGTTGGTAGCCATGGCGATGTTTTATGTGCTCATAGTTGTAATGCAAGTTATGACACCAGGAATAACACAGCAAAAAGCAAAATTCGTTCTGTTCTGTGTCCAATCTCTAAAACCATCTGATCATTGGTCTAGTGGTAACGTCAGGCGGCATTAGCAATATCGTAACAGCAATAGTTTCATCCATTAACAGGTGTGACTGAAAAATTACAACACGACACGACTCCCCTCGTCAGACTCTGGAAATTTACATACTTCGTTATCTCTAGATCTGACAAATGGGGTAAGCCGGTGGCTGCTATGGTTAACAACAACTTACTGCTATTATGAGTAGCATCAGTAGTTTTACATTACAATTGGTTAGGCGGCACTGACGAAGTTCTTAATCTCCTCCATGAGACAGTGGAAATGCTGATTATTGGGCAGGAAGTAGAACCCAATCGTCGCATCCTGCAGAAAAATGAGCTTCACCTGATTCCCAGTTCGCTCCATGCCTTCAACATACGCCAGCTGCCAATCCTGAATCAGATCCAAACCAGCCACCACCACCAAGCTCTTGGGCAGCTTCATCCCCTCTAGATTCTTACTTCTGGGTCCGAACACGTTACACGCCGGATGATCTCTGCTTTCCCCTTCCGGCAAGAAAGCTCTCCAATACCAATCCCTATCCTGAACCGTGACAAAGTACTTCCCGTCCAATCGCTTCTCCGATTCCGTCCTCGCTTCCCCGCCGAACATCGGGTGGAGCAGGATGTTACCCAGTATCGAAATCCCGGCTTCCGCGGCCTTCACGGCCACGTGGTGGGCGATGTTCCCGCCGGAGCTGTCGCCGGCGAGGTACACGTGTACGTCGGAGGAGTTGCGGTCCTTGCCGCTGCGGAGCCAGGGCCTGGATTTGACCCACTTGAGAGCCGCCCACCCGTCGTCGTAAGCGCACGGGTACCGATTCTCCGGCGAGCGGCGGTAGTTGACGGAGACGACGACGGCGCCGCCGCAGAGGGGGACGAGGCGGCGGCAGAAGGTGTCGTAGATCGCGCTGCCTGCGGAGGAGTGGGTGAAGCTCCCGCCGTGGAAGAAGACGATGACGGGGACGACGGCGGTGGTGCTGAGCGGGTTCTCGAGATCGATCGGGGCGGTGGGCGGACCCAATTGGGATTCGGGTCGGTAGACCCGGTTGAGAAGCCCGGTGGATCGGTCGAGGTGGTCGAAGGAGAAGACGCCGTCGACGGGGTTGGTGTTGGCCGGGAGCTTCCGGTCGAGGAATTCGGCGAGGTCGCGGTTGAATGAGCCGTCGGGACGGCGGAGGAGGTTGTAAGCTAGCTTGAAGTTAGATATCAGAACCCAGGTGTTGAGCGGAACCACCCTCTGTCCACCAAAAAAAAAAAAAACTTAATCCATTTAACAAAGAAGAACCAAAAATGGGGATAGACCCAGATAAGGAAGGAAGAAAATTAGATACCTTGGATTCATTGAGGTTGACTTCGTTATCACCCGCCATGCGATCTCTTCTTCTTCTTCTTCCTCCTCTGGTTCTTGTTCTCGAGACAGAGAGAGAGAGAGAGGGTTCAATTACTGTTTTATCGAGAAGAGGGAAATGGGTTTTTGTGGGATTTCTTCTTCTTCTTCTTCTGCTAACATTTGGGTTTTGCTTAAAGAGTCAAAATCATGTACTGGAGGTTTATGTTTGAACCATGGAAACGCTAGAAGAAGAAGAAGAAGGAGAAGAGACGACCAGCAAAGCACCGCCTCGCTACCAAGGCTTCTCCCACCTTCCTCTTTTTTGGATTTGTAATCTAAGGCGCTCTTGCCACCTGCTGGTTCGTTTGAAAAGGCGAGGAAGAAGAGGACAAAAGAAGGAAGAAGCCAAGTTTGACAAACCAAAAAAAAAGAGGGGCCGACCCGATTAGCTTCACCTGTTTGCTTAGTAATAAATAACTTGGAAATGAACTCTACTATCAATCATCCACTACAAGACAAAAGAAGCAGGAGAGAGAGAGAGAGAGAGAGAGAGAGAGAGAAGAAAAATCCAAACGAAACACGGCACGGCAGATGCCCAAAACGCAAACAAGGGGGGGAAATGGAATGGTCAACACAATTACAAGACTCTGGCGCCACTCGAGAATAGAAGGGAAAAAAAACACAGTGGTTTTTGGGAACAAAACCGATGCTTAGCAGCCCATAATTACTTTATTATTGTACTAATCATCATTAATGCTTTAAGATAATATACTTCTTTTTATCTTTCAACTTTTTCCTTCCGTCAATTCTCCAGATTAGGAAAAAGCAAAGTCAAGATTAGTAGCTCTACTTGGCGTGGCTGTGGTTTGGACGAATCGAGGTTTTAACGTTTGGTTGATAATGTGTTTCTAATTTCGAAGGTTAAAATTCCAGCTACTTGCCCATTTGTATACGAGGTATCCCGTTCGAGACTGTTCAGTGGAATAGGGGTGGCCGTTCGGTTACCGGTTATCGGTTAACGCTGGACACGATGGTTTTTGGTCTTAAAAGTGGTTCGGTTAACCGATAATCGAGAAATCAAAGTCTATTTCGGTCGGTTTTTTATATGGGGAGTGGTTATTTCGGTTAACCGATAACCGACCGATCGATTACCTGTTATAATCGAAATAATCGAACTGCCACCCCTACAATGGACAAATGTAACAAAAGATCGTGGACTGGAGTAGTATAGTGGAAGTAAGTTTTATCAAACTCAGGGTTATCAGATCTACTATGGCTTAACAATTATATGTTATCTAGCAAAGCAAGTTGTGAATTCAAGTAAACTATTGTGTATGCTTCCCCCCGGTATATAGTCAGGTCGACGTTGTTTACTCGCTAGTTCATTTAACTCGATGTTTATACTGCGAATAATTCTTATTTTTCCTTGAATCTAGAGGTGGCAATTAGGATCTATATCCATGAATCCAATCCAATCCATCTACCAAATTATCCACATAATCCAAATTCAACTGAATTGGTGGATTCATGGATAGATCCATGGATCCAAATGACAAATTATGGTTTAGTATCTATATTTTTTATATTTTACATTTTGGTACCTAAATTTTATTTTTTATATAAAAATATCATCGAAAACTTACATTTTGGTACCTAAATTATTTGTTATGACATTTTAGTATCTAAAATTTTCAAAATTTACATAATGGTCCAAGACTTGGATGTCATTCGGATTCATGGATCAATTCACCGATCCATTTGATCCAATCCATGAATCCACCTATCCATTGGATCTAATCGATTTGATCCATGGATCCACCAATCCATTTGCCACCTCCACTAGAATCTAAACTAAAGTAGACAAGCCCTCTTGATAGATTGCTTAGCGGGACACTATCCACAACTGGAGAAAAAAAAAATACCAAGAAAATAAAAACTAAATTCCTTCTACCAGATCGCAAATCACCTGCAAATCGCTCCAAATTGAAGCGATCTACCTTTATCGTTGTTGTTGAAGCGATCCGCTTCCCGAATCACTAAACAGTGCGCCGAACCACTCCCAAATTTGTGTATTTTGCCGGAATTTCAAGATAACTGTAATACCGTAACTCTCATATTTTAAGAAAAAATCTTTTCATTTTGTGCATGTGAAGTCAATAAAAACATATGTTTGGACCTATTATTAATGGAGTTGTTATGTTACACATCACCCCCAACTGGGTTTTACAATCCAAACAAATTATCATAAATTATCGTCTTTTAGTAGACAAGAGATAGTAGTAGGCGGCTTCTTGTCCCTAATCCCTATCTTAGCTTTTTCCATTCGGTTCGCACGAAGAAAAGCCCTTAACCTTAATTAAAGGGGATCCCCACCTCCCAATCCTTTTTCATTTATTAGTAATCTCGTCCTGGTTAACTTTTTTGAACCATTAATTTGTATCTACTGTCTTGTCAGCTGTTCTAGGGCTGGCGGTCTCTCTCTCTCTCTCTCTACAATTAGGGATTTCATGTGACCATAATATTACTACTCTCCACTCTCCTCTTCTTTTTTTTAATTTGTTCTGCTACCATGTTTTGTTGCTTCTTCTGTTTTATGTGTCTCCTTCTTGTTCCCCGGTTCTTGTTTGGTTTTTAGGCCGAATTCTGCTGCCTAATTCCAACAAGGTGTTTGTTCATCTCCTAATTTTGTCTCCTAGAATAATCTTTCTTACTTTTTACTTGCGTTGACTACATCCAATGGATCCTTGCCTACTTCCTCCATGAGCTTGAGGATGAAGATCAAGCTAATGTGAGTTTCTAAGTCGAGGTCGATTGAGAAATTCATTGGTGACTACTTCTTGGAGATCGCTTCCAATGGAGATACGAAGGATGACATGTTCTACTAGTTTGAATTTTTCGGGATAATAGAGTAGAGATGCTCTCGAAAATGCCTCATTAAAGGCGCGTGAATGAGTATCAAAGATTAGAAGTGAGATCCTTACACCATTAGGGTAAAACTGTTGTGTTAGTGTATAGATTTATTACTGTGATATAACATTTACCATAGCGACATAGAATATGTACTCGGATGATAATAAACAACATATACTAGCTATGTCTATGCATATTCTTAGCTCATATACCAATCCACTCTCCTTTTAGTTATAACATATATGTATCTAGGGGTGGAAGTTTGGTTTGCGGATTGCGGGTTATGGGTTACCATACCCACAATTTGTGGATAGTGGGTTGGGTGTGGATAGCAAAGTATTGATTTTTGTGCAGTTAACCCACAAAACCCACAATAACCACACTAAGTATATTTATTTATTAATATTACAAAGTATTATTAAAGTATGTGAAAAGTAGAATGCAAATTTGTATCCTACGAAATCAAATGTGTAATTATTGTATAAAACAAAACCAAGTCAATACACAGTGTCCGTATGAGATAAATTTATTGAATAAGCACTTCCAGCATGATATGTGTTTATTTTATAACAAAACCAAGTCAATAAATGTACTTTATAGTTTATTTAACACTTTATTAACTATTTTTTATGTAGGTTTTTGTTTTTCCTGTAAGAAGACGTTAATTCCGCAACTCGGGGAGAGAATTCCATTTAACTCTAAAAATTTCAAATAAAAAGCAAAGGAGTCATGCCGTTGATAAAAGATGTTATGTGTATTTAGATTAGATCCTCTCCAACCCATACTCTTTATCAATATGTATTTCCTAAAGAAAGTGAAGTGACCTATAAGCGAGTGAAGTGAATCGAGGAGAGGGAGGTTGACTACTTAGAAAGTTCTGAATACCGGATCCTCACGTGTTTCATGTCTTGGACTTATTTGACTTAGTTTTAACTCAATGTGTGTTTTTTGTCATCACTCGTCTGATAGGTTTATCATATACGAGTCCGAAGGGCGAATGAACGAAACTTTTGTGGGTATCCACATCCAACCCGCACCAACCACCACTACCTGTGTGGTGCGGGTTGTGGATAGCATAAATCTATATTTATTAGTGTGATTATCCGAAAAATTTGGAACGGATAACCACAATCGCCCCAATTTCCACCCCATCCCCAATCCCATGACAAAAAATAAACAACTTATTGTTGTTGTTGATGTTGTATTGTATTGTAATTGTTAAGCAATGTCCCAACCAACCGCCAAAAGCATATTTGGGGGTATGGATTCTTTTAGAGTAGGCAAACTTATTTTATGGGGAGGCAACCCCTTAAAAAATTTGTTATGTGTGTTTATTCTATGGAGTAGTAGACTTTTGTTATGGTTGTCTTACTCATTGGAAATAGATTGTTCTCTTCTATACATTGAACCAGATTTCTTTACGAATCTAGTGATCTATATAATTGATAGTTTAACAACGCTGCATAATCCCTTACTAGGGTGGTATGATGTGGCAATATGGTGATACAATTAGGGCTGGAAGTTTAGTACCGGTATTTGGGATATACTGAATACCGTATCAAATTTGTCTATATTTGGTATTACCGAATACACGAATTATTTTTTGGGATTGGGATTGAATTTCATTTGTTATTCGGTATTAGGGATTACGGGATTGGGATCGGTAATATACCGAAATACCGAAATATAACCTAGTGTGTATTTTATCCTCTCAACTAGACTCTCTCATTGACTAGTACACGACCCTCAACCACCAAAAGTGTCATTTAATTATACATAGATCAACCATCACTATTAATAGTGGTCTGTCAACCTACAATTCATCAAATTAAAGATTACCAATGACAAAAACTTGAGATGTCTCCTCTCCTCTCCTCCATTCTCCTTAATAATATCATAATTCAAGACTCTTTGCTCAGTCTTTTTCCCCTAAATTAAATAATAAAATCTAATTTATATATTTAATTATTAATTGTAAGGGTAATTAATTTCGTATTCGATAGTACCGATTGGGATACCGAAGTATCGATTGGGATACCAGTATATTTAGGGATTGGGATTGGGATACCGAAATTATTTAGGGATTGAGATTGGGATTGACTTTAGGGTGTAATTCGGTATTCGGAATTTCGGTATTTGGTATTGGGATACCGATAACGTATCGATTTCCACCCCTAAATGCAATAGTGACAAAATGTTGTACGCTTTTGTTACATAGTGTATAATGGTACACTAATGGTCACAAATCTTTGCATTTTGTAAAAAAATGATCACAAACCTTTAATGTAATTATATGAAAACAAAAGTTTGAATTTGTACGAAAGGATCACTTTAATTTAATTTTTGACTGTTTTGTACTAAGTGCAAAGACTTGTTACCGAGTCGTTATAAATTAAATGTTTGTCATCGTTTTGAGCATGGTCCATGAAACTGTACCGTACTAGCGGTTCAACCACAAAATACCAGTATCGGAGGCTAAACAGGTAGGCGGTATTTAACGGTACTAATGGTTGAATTACGATTAAACCACGGTTTTGTCATAAAATATCCTACCGCTGACTTTTCCGGTACGATCTCCGGTACGATTTTATGGACCATGGTTTTGAGAGGTAAGTTTGTTTGTTTATCAACCGTATGACACTAGCAACAATCAAAGACTACCGACTACACCTCTTTCGTGGCTACGTGGCAGAAGCCCATCTCCATTTCGTGTCAATTTGGCTTAATCACTTATCAAGGGCAAGGGTTTGGGAACCTGGAATGGACCTTGTCGATTTCAGCAATTACTTCTGATGGAAGGTGAACGGAACATGCCTTCAGTACCTCCTGCAACTGCCACGACTTGGTAGCTCCAAACACAGCACTTGCAACAAGAGGGCGTCTTAAAACAAATGCTGCATATAGACAGACAACAGAAAGATTTCTCAGCAAACCTATCACCCAGAAAGGAAAAGCAAAGAAGAGCAACGAGCCAATGACGTATTCTGTGAGCATAACACCTTAAGCTACTAGCTGTTTCTAGGAAAACAAAAGTTGATATAAACGGCTAATTATGCAAGGAGTAATGACACTTCGAAGCTCTACTAGATAGAAATGCTCAATGACGTGTTATAGCAGCCGAGGAAAAAGCTTGAGCATGTAGAGCGATTATATACCGATTGCAAGAGTTACCGGGTGTAGCCCAAATTTATCTGCAATGTTTATGTATTCCTGAAACGAAAAAAAAGCTCATACAGTTTAGAAAGTCCAGTCACTTTAGATAATATTTAACATGAAGGATGAAGAACTGATTTTCCTGGTCACCCTGGTTTAATGGTAAATTGAGATCGTTGCATGAATTGACGTACCCTAGCAGCTGTTGTTATGTCTTGACTATGGAGGTTGTATCTTGATTCCCCTTCTGAATACCTTCCTGGAAGGAGCAGAAAGTTGATAATGAGGAAGGGGTCTCAACTATGCGAACATCCTCATAAGCAGCAATATTTGGAAAATCGAATTCTCGACATCAACCTTTGAACATATTGAAGCGAGCATCTGGGGGTGCTCCATCAGATGCAAAGTACTTCCCAGAAAGTATACCCATTGCAAGGGGACTGTATGCTAGTAAGCTTATTCTACAGAATTGGCAGTAGAAAGAAACAACATTATTCACAGGAAATGGTGATTAGTTTTAAATAGTCACAGAAAATCAACTTAACTAAAGAAGAAAAAGAATCGATATCATTTGGAGCACAATTGATATCATTTGGAGACGTTGCAATAGTACCAGTAGCAAGTAACTGTGTCTGATGAATGATTAAATAACATTCAAGAAACATAAGCTGTGCAACCACAAAGACATTACAAACGGCCGATGCAACAGAGTAACTCACAACTCAAAACCTTTTAGAACAAAAGAAAGAAACAAATGACATGGAATTTCTCAGAATAAAAAGAACATTAAGCATACAATTTACTCTAGTTATAAGATAGTTTAGCATGGATAGCATACCCCTCATGGTGACAGCATTCAGCTAGTCCAGAATCAAAACTTCGGCAAAGCAAGTTGTATGAGTTCTATCAGTAAGAAAAATCAGCAGCATATTAGGCATGGCAATGAACGAAGACAGCCACTATTGACAGAGGAGGCAGACGAAGGAAAAGCAGCAGCACTCTAAGAAGGAACTACCTGCACTGATATTATCTCTGGATAGGGAATATTACTCTTAGCAACCTCAAGAAACTTCATGACGCCGTATGGTGTTTCATTACTGAGTCCAATGTATCTAATCTACAAAGAAACAATTTTTTCCAACTCAAATGCCCTATATAGTTAAGAGATCTAGGTAGAACCATGTCTTACTACAATCCCGTACCTTGCCAGCAGCAACAGCTCTGCCAAGGGCATCAAGTTGTTCCTCTATCCTTATTGAACTGAATTGACGAGTAGAGTCATACTCGGTTTCACCAAACATTGGAACATACCTAGAGGTACACATCACGCATAACAAACACCAAAGAAAATCAGAGGTTACTAAACAAAAATTAGGAAAGGACACCTCTGATCTCTCAAATAGATACAGATAACAAAATTAGGAAAGGAAAAGGGGTCTACATACAAACCGATCAGGCCAATGAATTTGATAGAGATCAATGTAGTCCAGTTTCATTCGGCATAAGCTGCATAACAAACAGCATTACCTCTATATCAGAGAGTGTAGCTAGTTCAAGTTCAAAATAAGGGTGCCTTAGCACGCACACAAGGGAACGAACCTACTATCAATGGCTTCAGTAATATTCTTAGCATCCAAGCACTTTGGTCCATCTCGAATCCAAGTCATCTGCCCAGAAGGCCCAGCAACCTGTAATGACAGAAAGTTCATATATCACTATTCACCGCATACCCACAAAAGCCAAGAGAAGTCGAGGCCAAAATAGTTGACATAAAAACGAAGGGGAATCGGCTGGCACAGATAACCAATAAGGTAGTGAAAAATTCACCTTGGTTGCAACGACAACTCGATCGCGAGGGACCTTCCTTTCTTTAATCCAAAGGCCCAAGTACTCCTCACTCCTCCCCTGAGAATCGGCCCGTTGGGGCACCGGATACCTGCTGATAGAAACTAAGTTAACAACAATGGCCGCCAGAAGAAAAATGAAAAGGAAACAAGGAAGACATGGAATGGAAAGACGCACATTTCAGCGGAATCGAAGAAGTTGATTCCGGCATGAAAAGCTTCATCGAGGAGGCGAAAGGATTGATGCATCGTGTTCTGCTCGCCAAACGTCATGGTTCCTGGAAACAAACGAAACGAAATACGAGTTGGAAGCCACACCAACAGAGCTCTCTCTGCTTCCATAAGCAATTAGTAGCGTCGACGGAGATTATGCGAGGCTCTGAGATATTACCTAAACAGAGCCTTGAAACTGTTAAATTTTGAGCGAGGTTGAAGAGAGGAACCGCCATTGATTGAAGCGGAAGGAGACGAGTTGCAGGGAGAGAGAGAGGGCACTGGAGCAGGGTGACAGTAGCAATTCGCGCTGCTGCTGATTGATTCAAATGAGTTTTTGCAGTATCCAGTTCTCGATGGAAGGAAAAGGAGGAGGGGAAAAGAACAACTATCCTTTTCCCGGAATATGGGATGGATAAATTTCGGAAGCCGGGCCGGGCCGGGCCGGATCAAGGATCCAGAATCTTGTTTGGTGGATCAACTGCCAAGTGTGGGCTAAAGCCCACCTTCGAGATTCTTTTGTCCTTTGCTTGGGACAGACGAGAATACGAGATGCTCCTCCAAGGGAGCACTCGGCATGGTTAAGGTTGCATTCGCCTACTTTGTTGATTAACCACAAAACTCATAAGCTATAAATCAATACACTAATAAATTGCCAGTCAAGCTGGATTACTAGTCATATCGTCGAGCCACTTCATGAGTTCAAAATGAGACAACTCACGAATTAAAGGCAATAGAATGTTGGGAATTGAATAGGGATGTTAATGAGAAGAGTTGTGTTTGATATTTGACTCAAAAAAAAACTTGCTCGAATCTCAATTCGTTTACTAACGAGTCGAACTTGAGCTAAGCAATGTTCGGCTCAATGGGCTCGTGAGCCATCTTGACTCGGTAGCTTGTTGAGATCAACTCGTAAAAAATCTCGTTTTTAGCTAATAAGATATTTCAACATTTTGGCGGCTAATGAGTGAACACAACTACCGGTTTATGAGCAAATCGGCCTATATCTTATGTGTTGACTTCTTGATAATTCAGAAGCTTGTTAACTTGTACATCTCACCCCATATAATGTTTAGAACTTTGAGTATGTGAAAAAATACGTCTCACTCATAATTTAAAAGAGAAATTATGTAATATAGATTGTTTAGATACTAGTTACTATGAAATTACATTATATGAACTACTTAAAATATATGAACTTAATAAACTGTTGGTACCAGCAAAGTATATAAACATGAGACCAATTCATCCATGTGTGGTACCAGCAAAGTATATAAACATGAGACCAATTCATCCATGTGTCAAACATGAGACATGAGATACAAATATTATAATATTTAATTTTATAAATTATTGAGATTTAATTTAATGATTCAACTATTTCTAGTAAATGAGTTGAACTCGAGCAAAATTCGTGATCTTAATGATGAGACAATGTTTAAATAAATGAGTCCGCTCGAGCTCGATGATAAATGAGTCAACCTTGAGTTTGGCTCGATTATCAACAAACCAAGTCTGAAGAAGGCAAACCTCGACTTGACTCGGTTCATTAACAACCTATGTGTGACTTTGGGTAGTACTTTTTTTTAGGGTAATGACTATTTATTAGCCAAACCTTTTTTCATATTCTTTTTTATTAGCCAAACCTATTGAAATGCTATTAATTAGCCAAACGTCAACTTTCCATTAACTTTTTCGTTTGATGATGGTGAGCCTGTCAGACGTGGCGTTGAGTTGGAAGGAATTTTCTTACGTGGCAGTAAAAAAAAATATCACATCAACCGGTCAACCATTGATCACATTTTTATCAATATTTTATAAATATTAAAAATAAAAGGGCTAGTTATTAGCCAAATCTATTGAATTACTAATAATTATCCAAATGTTAACTTCCAGTTAGCAATTTTGTTAGTAATATTGACATGGCAAAATGATACTGTCTTGGAAGAGGCACATGGATGTCAACATTCCAAAATTTTAATATTTTAATTAAGGAAAGAATTACAAAATTAGTAACAATAATGTAAAAATGGCTAATATTTTGATGCATTACAAAAGATTTGGCCGGTTATTAGTAATTCAATAGGTTTGGATAATAAAAAATCGTGCGAGAAAGATTTGGTTAACAATTAGTGTTTACCTATTTATTCATTGATGAGATGGCAGCTGAGTTGAACACTGAGGTGGAGCTCCATTATAAGTAGTTAATGGTAACAGACTAATGACTATTAATTTGACATGTTACAAAATATTTGATTAATTCTTAATATTTCAATTGGTTTGGCCAAAAGAATACGAAAAAAAGTTTAATAACATTCCCACCTTGCTCAGTGCTTTGAGTTCCTGAGAATAGCATAATAATATTATGATGCTTAATGCTTAGTGCTTACACATATAGAAATTTTAAGATTAATTTATTTGTATAATATATTTTTTTTTTTTTTTTACATTTCAGATAATTAATCTCGCATTATTTTTTAATGAATTACATCTCTTTCATTTTAATTTGGATGCCAAATGTACTTTCACAGAAAAATTATATTAACTTTGATCTAAAATATGATATAAAGGATACTAGTATTTATTCGTTAGTTTCCGTTATGCATCTTTGTTTTCCTAGTATGCTTTAAGATATTTTTGTAGGTATTATAGTGTTTCTGGTATGCATTTCCGTTATGCAACCTAGAAATGCGAATCTCAGAAGACCCAATCCTGGGAACGAAAACCCTCAAAATCAACTTTGTAATATGAATCTGAGCATAGTCCTCGCGCACACACACAAAAAGAAGGAAAACAGTAGAGTAAAGGCTACCGTTTGGTGATTATATACAAAAAATGCTACCGTCTGTCTGTCTGCCTGCATGTCCCTTGGTCTTACAACTCCTACAAGAATCTTAACAAGCAATCATAACAACACAGAGATTAAATAAATGGCAATTAGAGGACTTGCAGCTATGCCATGTTTGGAAGACAAACTTGTATTCTCCCACGACAAAACAGCAAACTCATACAACAGCCAAAGAGGAAACCCAAAAAAGCTAGCCGAAGAAGATTCATTCAGATGCACCAACACATTTGCACAGATCAGAGCCAACGTCCGTCCAGTGACTTCTGGAGGCAGTAGTCATCTTCGACTACCAAAACAAGAACCAGACCGACTGTTTCAATCAGGAAGAGTTACAAGTCAACAACGGCCATCATGGTGATACTATAACGAGGATACAACTTTGTCCGTCATGGCAAATAAGTGTAAATCGTATAGTAATTTGTGCTACATATCATCTGAAATGGTGCACCGTACAATTACACAACCCACACTCACGGTCTAGTGTACTATAGAGGTAGGAAGAAGAATGCTCATTGGGTCTCGAATTTTGAATATCTAATGTTTTTCATTCAGTAATCAGAGACGAATAAAATCAAAATCACACTGTCGATTCAATTGGTTGGCCAGCCAAGAGAAAGAAAAAGCGAGACTTAAAACAAGCCATAATTTTCCTTGAAGATCGGAAAAGAAAAATCAACGAAAACATAACAGAATATATTGGGACCAGATGACCAGCTAAGAGAAGGAAGGGTAAGAAATAATGCTTACCCAGTCAACCACGATAAAGTGAAGCTTTTGATCAAAGGCCTTCTAAAAGCGTCTCCGAAGATGAGGGGATGCAGAGCCTGAGGATGTTGCAAGCGGGCGCTGCACAAAAGGATGGTCCAAGAGCTGAGCAGCTGTAGGCCGATCATCTGGATTGACTTGGAGGCATTGTAGGATAAAATCCCTTGCATCTCTAGAGAGAGAATCAGGAACAGTCGGAGGCACGCCTCTGCCAATCCTGAACAATGCCTGCATCTGCTAGAACCATAAACCATTGTCAACTACTATAATAAATAATAAGAAGTGAACTGTGTAATGATAAAATGGATAACAACAATGCATGTGCTTGGGAAATGAAAGTAGAAACTGAATTTGACAGAACCCCAACTTGTTGAGATTCAACAGGCCATACTCGATTCCAGTCAAAATGCATAATCTTAAAACACCAAAAATAATGGCTAGCACATACACATTCCAGATCAGAATATGGAATCTTTTGAGTCAACATCTCCAGAACGGTGCACCCGAGGCTCCAAATATCAGCTGGAAGCCCATATCCTTGGTTTTTCCGGTTGACAACCTGCAACATCATTGTGAAAGGGGTATTGTAAACAGAAGAACAGCTACATGCATAAATCACAAGTACCCTTCATTCTATCAATACAAAAATCTCATTTCCAAAATAGAGAATTCATCTAGAATTATATGACTTCAGATTATGCTCCTAAACTTCTGGGAAAGTCTCCAATGTAATCTCTAAATCATATTGTTTTTAGAAGAGTATCAAAATAGACGCGTACCTCTGGAGCCATCCAAAATGCAGTCCCCTTGCATGATTTGACATCATTCAGTTTAGTGGCCTGGAGAAAGAAAAGAATACATGGCGTTAGATACAAACTCCCGTATACTTCAAAGAGTTCTCGTATGCTAAAGAAACAATTCAAAGGGAATTGAGACCTTCGCCAGCCCAAAATCCGCAAGTTTCACAGATCCACTTGCATCTACTAATATGTTTGCGCACTTGATATCCCTTCAACAAGCAAAAGGAAAGGCAAATAAGAAGGGAAACACAGTGATATATAATCTATTTCCATGGGAATTGATAATACACCATACAATCTATGTGTGTGAATAAACACAACCAAAAATATTATTACAAAATTCAATCTTACGACCGCTTCTCGACATCTCCAACAAACCCTAAAATTAAGAGGGCAAAAAGGATGCGAACTGATCACAGGCCTATTTATCATACATTCACAATGTTCAACTTGGATCAGTGAGGGCAAATGCCAATCTTAGCAACCTGAGGATATCGAGCCAAAGTTGCACCAGAGTTCACCGGGGTACAAAAAAGGGCAGACTATAACTCGATAACCAAATTCAATAATGCAGGTCCAAATAACAGAAGAATAGTTTGCTGTCATTACCTGTGAACCACGTCGCGGTCATGAAGATACTTCAAACCGTGAAGAATTTGCCTTGTGTAAGCGCAAACCTGGGAATCTCGAAGATGATATCTCTGATAAAGATTTAAAAGGGAACCTTTAGTCACCAGCTCGAGAAAGATGTAGAGGTTTGATTCGTCCTGCAAGGAGAAAACACTCATTACTGCACTGTTGATTTCCAAAATCTTCTTACTATGATGTGCTATAATACTATAACAAACAAGGCATGTTCGCATTCATATAGCATAGTATTCTAAAAGGTCTAGGAACAGAGAAAATCTCTCAAACTTGACAATGATAGTTCAGCAAATTCAGCAATTAAGTATTAAAGAAAAAAAGAAATTTAATAAGCGTAAGAAACCGAAGTTTCTACAAAGAAAGGCTTCTCAATAAATGGATCAGTATTTTTGCTTCATTTTCCCGACAGTTCGTGACAAAGATGAGATGAAGTTACTAGTATCTTTGTATAAAAATTGCACTTTTTAGTCATTGCGCCAGAACTAATTTCCACAAAGAAAAGGTACAGCCCAGCTAATAAAGGATGTCTATTTGAGGTAAGCATCATTAAAAAAACTCCGTAGTATAGAAATTTTTTCATGTCGTCAGAGTTATCATTCTCAAACTTCAAAGTAAAAAGGCCATGCTGAATAATGCGAGCTGCAAATCTGGAAGTTAATATGAAGAAGGGTTATAAAATCAGTTTTTTTCATGACACAAAAATGTCATTAATCCAATCATCCATCCTTATCCCCTGGATGTTGAGAAGAAAACAGCATGCTTTTAGATTTCAATCATAACTTTTGTTAAAACAAACTCATAGGTTGGAGTATTTTTTTTCAATTGGGCAGCTCAGAAACTAGGTGTTAGTTTTCCTATCAATTGACAACCTTCTCAAAAATCATACTAGTCAGCAAGATTCAAAGAAATACCCAATGAATAAACTAAATACATCCGCAAAGTGTTTGCACATCAAACTATGCATAGTTTAAAATCCACTACTTGCACTTAGAGCACTTCGTTACATAGTTACCTTGTCTGTGCCATAGTACTGAACAATGTTCTCATGCTCAAATTGACTTAAAAGAGCAATCTCCTGCATATTGGGGAAACAAGATCAGAACTAGACAATTTGTGAGATATGAAAGCAACAACAACAAAAAAAAAAAAAGCCAAAGCCAAAGAAAATAGTAAGCCGCATCCTATTACCTGCTCAAGTTGATATATGCTTTGCCTTCCCTGACTGCCTTGATCAAGCAAAGAAACCTCTTTTATAGCAAAAAAGAACCCATCACTGCAACAAAAAACCACCATTAGGGAATATTCACACACCAGTAGCATTCTTTCCACTTCCCAACTAAATGGTGCAGCAATAATTGGTAGGATTATATATAACTAGCAAGCTTCTTACAGAGCAGGCAAACCCAGAAACATGATATACGTCAATAGGGAACTTCGAATTTCAACATGACACGAAAGGTAAATCACGACATGCACCAGTCCAAGAAGACTTGGAGTTATTTCAAAAATGGGATCCCGGTACTAACTTTTGTACACTAGTTACTTGGTTAACCTGGCCATATAATGAGATAGAAAGTTGACAAAACAATAGTCAAAACCAGCCACAAAGCCTACTTCCAACAGCCAAACCTAACTGTGACTCTATATATAAAATTATACAAATAAGCCGAACAGATGGGTGCAAGAAAATGCCGATACGGGATTATTGCTGAGGAATAAGCCGAGACTACATTGTGGTAAGACACAACCTACTTTATAACAGGGAGCAACGAAGCAGAGAGAGAGAGAGAGAGAGAGAGAGGGAATGCACTCTTAAAATCAAGCACTTCAAATGTCAAAATCATAAACTATCACAACTGCTGTTTTTCATTCGATAAAGGGTAGAAGATCACTGCTAAAGGGATCAAGCATACCAAAACAATCACATAGTGGAACATAAAGGTACCAAAAATAATCCCAACTACCATATAGGCATGATTCATGCATAGAGCTTCTCAAGGGTTGGGCTATTTCAAACATGGATATTACTTTCAACTAACATATAGATTAAGCCCAACTACCACACTAAATGCATACATAACAACATGTAGAAGTCGACCTGCAAAGGAAAATGCACAAGTTATCATTCAATGTAGCTGCTAACAATAACTACCATAGTGCCTACTCATAATTCCTTAAGACGCAATCCAACAGAAAGGCTGGAACTTTTGAAGCTAAAAGAGTATCCCTTAATAGTTGATTTTATCAATTCTCGTACTAGATCTCCTCCAAAGTCGACCATCCTACCTAACTCAATTCATGACAAAACAGAACAACTGACTCATTCGCGACGATGAACTGGAACTTACTGAGACATTCCCTCATACACCGACCCAAACGATCCACGCCCCAGAAGCTCTCCTTTTATCCAGTCGGAGATAATAATCCTTCTGAATCTCCCGTTGGGGGAGATATTTGACATTGGTTCCGTGGTAGAGCTCGAAGAATCGTCATCATTTGAGGTGGTAAACGAGCAAGACTCGGACAAGACAGCAGTTTCCCCAATTCTAAACAAACTCACTCCTTCTCCTCCCTTCCGTTCCCTGGAGGAGCCCATACCTTCCTCTACTTCGTCCCTTTCCTCGTCGTCGGAAGTGAAGTCTCTTCTCCCATTTTCCGGGCCGAAATCCCTCAACATATCCCACGCTGATCCCATAGCGGTTATAGGTGGCAAGGTCATTGCCGGCGGCGGCCTCAGAAGAGGCGGACGAACGCCCTTGATTCCTCCCACTACTCCACCGGTAGCGCTGCAATACCCGTTCAACTCGGCTGATTCCGCTGGGTCTTCCCTAGCAAAGCCAGAGGCACCGTCCGTAATTGTAACCCTATCTGAGAGGCCAACGCATAGCGCGCTCACATCCGGCTGCTCCGTCCCATTAGCAATATCATCAACCTTAGAGCCGTCGTTCTCGTGAAATCTAGACCGGGGCAGAAGGTCGGAGGCGGACCTCAACTTCATGGCCTCCCAAGCAGCGGCTGGAATAGCAAAATCCTCGGGCCCAGTGAGGCCAAGGCTTCGACAAATCCGGTCGAACTCGCCATCGGTCCCTTCAATCCGGAAACTGGTCCGATCCTGCAAATCAAGCGAGCGCGTGACTAGGGACGACGAGTCGTCGTCCAGAGAAGAAGTAAAGGAAGTGGCGTCGTAGTCAATATTCTTGGCGGCATTACGGCGCTCCAGCTTGGGTCTCCTCCGTTTCTTGGGATCCATGGGGCTGGTGCTCTTGTTAGGAGAGAAGAATCGAGGCAAGTGATGCATCGAGAGCCAAATCCATCTAAACCCTAAATAATAACCCTTTTCAAGCACCAAACACCACCAAAAGGCAGATGAAGAAAGCTCCGTGAAGAATTCCGACCAGAGAAACAACTACGCAGCGATTGCCCCTTTCCTTTGCCGTCAATTGGCCGAGAAATTCTTGTTGGGATGAAGAAGGTTGTGCGGTGAATCAATATCTGGGTAAAAAAAATGGCTGACCAAAGAAGACGAAGGGAATCGTGGTAAAGGGGCCGGGAAGGGAAATGAAATGTGAGCTTGAGAGATAGAGAGAGACTGGTAAACGCCGTCGAGATAGAGATAGAAAACGCGGTGCCACGTGGCGGACAGAGGAGCGAGGTGGGTTGAAGGCTTGTGCTTGGTTTCTTCTACCTGGGTGGCGGCACATTTTCTTTTCGTTTTTATTTTTTAACCGCGCCAGCCACCTCTCAGCCTCGTTATAATTTTCTCGAGGGTAAATTGCAAGTTTGATCACTAGAATTACTATTAAATTTCACGTTTGCCACCAAAATTAATTTATTCCATCCATGGTCACTTAAATTAGTTTAGTAGTCCAAGTTTGGTCACTGGCCGTTAGTCTCCGTCAGCCTCCGTTAACACCGTCAGTTTTTTGCTGACATGGCTAACAGAGATGCTGAGTCACCCAAATTTTAACTTAAAAAAATTGAAAACCAACCCGCCACGTCAAAAACCCGTCTCAACCCATTAATTGACCCAACCACTAACCAAACCTTTCTTTCCTCTCCCCCAACCCGCCACCATCCCCGATTCACCTCTCCGCTCCCCCGACCAGTCGCCATCTTTGAATCCCCTCTCCTCTGAGCCTTCCTTTTCACATGAACCAAACGGGGGAGAGCCCAACAAAGTCAAATATGAATTTTTCCCTATCTCTATCCCTCTCTCTTCTTCCCAGACCTCTGTCGCCTCCCGATCTCCTCTTCTTCCTTCCCTACAAAGCCATGACGGCGCCTTTGCTGCAACAATTTACATTCTGGAGAGACCTATTTGAAGTGGATCTTGCTTCGTTCACACCTTCAATGTTCACTCTCATCCCCAGCTTCCTCAGTCTCAAAAGAATTCCTCCACATCTCCGGCAACAGCGGGACTGCCGGTGGCGGTGGCTGAGGGAGAGGGCGAATTCGATCTCGACCCGGCTGGCGCAATCGAAGCTTGACGGCCGAGCATGTCTGAGTTTTTGCTCGAATCTGGATTCGGGAGGTCGTTATGCTCAGATCTACCACGGAAGAGGGATATCAATGGTTAGGAGAACGGTCGGGTTCGTGGGCAGCACGTCTCTTTGGTGTTCAAGAAGTGTGAGGAGCCGAAGAGGGAACAGAGCAAGGTCATTCTTCCCTTGCTCCGCGATTGATGACGAGGGTGGTGGTGACAGAGGCTACCCTATCTCAGCTCCGTCACCCAGCGGTTCAGCCGTCGCAAGGCACTTTGCCAGCTTCCCATTATGGATCTTCCGAGAGAGAGCGGAACAACTACGCCGGAGAAGAAGAGAGAGGGGTGACGAGCTTCGCTAGGTAAGAGAGGATCGTCAGCGAGGAGCGCTAGAGGAGAGAGGCGAGAGAAAGAGAGGGTCAGGTCGGTTTTGGAATGGGTTACAATTTGGTTTTTATGACGTGGTGGTTTTTATGACATGGCGGCCGGGTTTTTTTTGTGTGGGTAAAGTGGGTGACTAGATATTTCTGTTAGCCATGTCAGCAATTAACTGACGGTGTTAACGGAGACTAACGGTCAGTGACCAAATTTGAACTACGAAAATAATTTAAGTGACTATGAATGGAATAAACTAATCTTAGTGGCAAACGTAAAATTTTATAGTAATTCCGGTGACCAAACTTGCAATTTACCCATTTTCTCGATAAGATTTTGGGCTCGTGAAAATTTAGATTTTTTTATCAAAGTCGTGCAGTTTCAACTCAAATTTGGATAGCTCGAATCGACCTTCTAATAATTATAAAAATACAAAGATACGTGTAGATAGATACTCGCCACAATCAAGTGTAATCGCTTGATTGATAAGAGTATGGAATCTTCAGCATAAAAACTCAAATAAGAATCTTGCTCTTGCTATGGAATCCACCAATAGCTTAACCAATAAACCATAAGCACGCTGATCCATGGAAAAGAAACACAACTCAGTGTAAAATTCTTATTCATCAACTCCCTCAAATCTGCCATCGTCAACAGCAGTTCAAACTTCCGAAAATACTCCTCAACAGATCGTACTCCCTACTGAATTCCCTGCAAGGAATCAAAGAGTTTTTTTTGGCAGTACCCTGGCACAAATTTCTCTCTCATGAGCCCTCTCAATTCAGTCCAAATTGTCACATTCGGCTACAAATTCCTTCTTCTTATGAGTTGTACCAGCTCCCACCATATGATTGCATAGTGAGTAAATACATAAGTGGCTAGTGATGCCTTTTGTTGCTCCTTGTAGTTGCCACATTGGAAGAACATGATGATCTTCCTTTCCCAATCCAGGTATGCAGAAGCATTGAGAGATCATTGTAACAAAGGGATTGGCAGCTTGATTCCGCGTAATTCAGCAATGGCACCTTCACGTCCTGCCTCTGGTGGTCTTACACCATAATCACGAACTTCTTGTTCTTCACATACTTGATTGGGCTCTATTGTGATCATTCTCTGCTCCATGTTGCAAAGTCTTTAATCTAGGGCTTGGTCGGTTCCAGTCAAAACGTCATGTTGTCGATCTCCCTTCAGAATTGGATGGAGCCCTGCTACAACTCCCAGTGGGGCAGCGTTGTTTGCCGGTGCTAGAGTATCCACCCACTTGTTAATTTGGTCGAATTGAACTTGGAAGGTTGCGTTCAATTGCGCCATGATGGTCTGCAACAGTTTTGACATATTAAACTGATGTTCGGCCATTGTAGGTTCTTCAAATGGGATGTATTCCTGGGACCAGTGTTATGAAAACCGGGCCGGACCGGCCGATTAGGCCGGAAAACTCGGACCCGGGCACTGACCCGGTCCCGGAAGCATAAAAGTGGGAGGAATCCAGCGGGCCGGCTTTTGTCCATTTTTGCTTTCGTTTTTTCAACTGAAAAGACAGATCTATAGCTAGCTTTTGCTTTCTTCAATTGAAATATTCAAAAAAATAGCTAAACCAACGGAAAAAGAAAAGTTTGTAGAGAATAAAATTGAAAAGGAAAGAAATAATCTCATTCTCATTCCCTTGCCCTAGCAGCCACCTTCCTTTTCAATTTTGATTTTAAGATATTATCATAAATTGAGGAAAAAATAGACAATGATTGATTTTGACTTTGCATTATTAGCTGGCCATTTCCAGTTTTATGAACGGGTTTTAATACCGGTTAATCACTGGTTATTCGATAAACCGTGAACCTCTTGCTAATCCGGATCGATGTCCGGTTCGGTTTTAACAACATTGCCTGGGACGACGACTCCTCTTCTGATATGTGGTGTGCTATGGGATCTTTGAACCTCGTACGAGAAGAAACAAGTCTTCTCGTCGTTGATCTCGCCACTGTGATGAACCAGACTCTGATAACACCTGATATGAGCATAGATCTTGTACCCATAGTTATCAAAGTCGCACAGCTTCAAGACGAACATAAAAATAGATTTTTGTTTTGTTTTTTTGTTTCTTTGGGATATGATGGAATTTAAAGTGCAATCTCAATGCGAAATCGGGAGAAGGCTCTATCAATATAATAGCTAGAATCTCGACCCCAATCAAGAGGAAAACTTGATTGATACAGAGAAAAGTTCAAGCCTAAAGCTCAAAACCAAGTAAAAAATCAATATTATGCAAAAACTAACCCTAAACCCGGAGTTTCAGCTTTGTACAAGTTTGGACAATTAAAAATAACAAAAATAACTTAAAAACTCAAAATCTCGTCACCGAGGCCTGATCCACGGTCGGACCCTACAAATTCCCAATTAGTGATTTTAATCCACAACCCAGGGGTACTTCTGCTAGTGATCCCCGGTCCACTCCCCCATTCCCCGGTCGGAGAATTACTTCCCCTCGGTTGGGGGTCTTGCGGGGTCAAATTGCAATAGTTGGGGATTGGGCGGCGATTTGAGAGAGATGTGGGCTGTGGTGATCGAGAGACAGAGGAGGTGGTCGGTATGCCTAGTAACTGGCTTGAAGTCGGTATACCGTTTGGTCAATTGTACCCACCATATACCGGTATCGCTGGCTAACGATATAACCGGTTACCGCTAGTAACCGTTCGGTAACCGATTATACCGTTAACTGAATTACCAATTGTCAACCTTAATTTCAAGTACCTTATAGTATTTTATCGTTAATATATATTAGTACCTAAGAGACCCTAATCTTCCTCCACAGTCCCCATCGCGGGCGACAATTTTTTTTTCTTCCCCGCTTATGTCGATGGCCGCCATCCCCCCACCTCCTTTCATCACTCCTTTCTTCTTTCCTATGGCCGCTTCTTTTTTTATTCCACCACTCCACCGCCAAGCTTCCATCACGACAACTATCAACAAATTCACCCCCTTTCCTCTTCGTCGTACCACTGGTGCCAGACAAAATCTTGTGTGACGTCCAGAAATAGGAAGCGCTCCTGTTATACACCACCGATGAGGCGACGTATGACGGGTGGGATTGCCTCCTAGCACCACCGTTTCTTCCTCCACTTCTTTCTCTCCAGATCTTTCCCTCTCTACGACGTCTTATATGGGTAGGGTTTTCTTGATTTTTCCGCCCGGGAACCGTGCATCCAGTTAACTCATCTGGGTTTGCCAAATTTCGATCGAGTCTATACGGGTTTGACGAATCTGGGTTAATTCTTAAAACGGGTGGGTGGCACCCATTTTGTCACCGGGCCCAGGTCAACCTGTGGGTTAACAACCTTACTCCATATTGAGTTGTGGTTTATTACTTTGATTCTCCAACTCTTCCTTTTTTGCCAGCCATCTAATAGCCCAGTAATACCATTTAGGGTGGAAAACGGTCCAAACCGGTCAAATTGACTAGATTTACTTGGTTAACAGGGATCGAGTTTATATCAATACTCTAACTGTAAATTGGATTGAATTTGATTTTAACTGTGACCGAACCATACAGTTCCAGTCTCGATCCGGTTTTAACCCAAAGACTGGAATCACTCACATCCCCACAAACATGACACAGTTTAAGCTTCTATTATATTAAAAAAAAACACACAAAAAACCCCATCGATATCTCCCCCCAATTCAATTTCAAACTCACAAGATTCCTAATTCGGCTCCAATTGAATATGTCTACCCCTAATCCTTTCCAAATTTGCTACTCTAATCAGAATAATCTCAGAGGCGACGAATAACGATGACGAAGAAGACCATCAACTGACTCTTCTCTACTAGTGGTGGGCTGGTCATTGGAGGGAACTGAGATCTCAATACTATGTCGTCATAACAGAGACGGAGAGGCACATAGAGAGGTGTATGTCGTCGATTGGTGAGGGAGTCGGAAGGAGGAATGAACCGAGACCTAAGGTTGAGAAGCTACTCTATGTGGCGAAGTGGCGAGTGGCAGTTGGCGGAGGTTGAGCCATGCTCTCAACCTAAGAGGTATGGAGGTGGGAAGTGGAGTGGCGCGACTTACCCAGTTATCTCGCGACAACCTTGGTTAAAGGTGATCCTTGTTATCATTCGTGGACAACTGGTTGGTGGTCATGGCCAATGCGACTGGCGAGGCAAGATGGGAAGACCTGGTGAGAGCTGGAAGTCTTGAACTAGAGTCATCATCATTCGTCTTTAACCAAGTTCATAGCTGGGGATTGAGAACTATGAAAGGGAGGGATTAGAGTTGTGTTGCGACTGTAATTGTAAGGGACATGGAGAGCCGAGAGGCAGAATTTGTCACCCCTTATTAGAATTAGAATTTGTTAGGTAGGATGGGGTTGTGGACTGGCGGGGTTGTGGACTGGCAGGGCAGTGGTCATGGGCCTTGAGCATCCAGTTTTCCTGATTTAAACCAGATCATACCGATTTTTGAAGCCCAACCTCCTAACCATCAATTGGATTGTATGATTGTCAATCCGGTTTTTGGTTACAACCGATCGACTTAAACCATTTTGTTTCTGGTTTAACCAAAAATCCAGGACCAAATAGCAACACCTAGTACTATTGCTAGTGGATCTTGAGCCATGACTTTATGGCTAAGTGATTTTCATGCGAACCACTTAACGTATTGGCTTTTGTCTTTCTTTTTCTTTTTGCCAGGAGTGACTTATATTACTCTAAAAATATGTTAACATGAATATAAAAATACAATGAAATATTAAACAAAATAAGAATGAAAATCCCGATTATTCGGCAGGCATTCCATGTTAGAGAGAAATGACCTTATGAGCCTAACACAGAAGGTCCAACCCAACAAAGGAGTCCATTAGTGGAGCCAACCACAACAAGTCCAACCTCGACCACACAACTGCACCAATCAGAGTATCACAAAGTAGGTAATCGACTCGCTTAACATGGGGTTTGGCAATGGCAGTTGAATACACAATACCATATAGCCACCTCCTGGGGGGTCGTTCAAAGACGATACCATCGCAATAAATCTCGAGGATTAGTTGAGGTGGAGAGGACAATAACCGAACTACTCAAATATGAACAAAGGCAAGAAAACTGGAAGCTAAAAGCACATGGGCCAAAGAGAGCAGAAGAGTACCACCGTGTTGAAAGCTCAACACGAAAAGCCCAACAATTTATAAGCAAAGCAAAAAAAAAAAAAAAGTCACATGAAGAAAGAAAACAAAGCCCACATCATAAAGAAATCAAAGCCAATATCCCAAGCATAAAATCGAAATAAAAAGTTCAATCGAAATAAAACCAACACCACCAGATAGAAGTCTGCAACGAAACAACACAACCAAAATTACATTGGCGTAGCCAGAGATATAATTTAGTGGGGTCCAAACATAACCAAGTATGAAGTTTGACTCGATAGTAAAATCATTGTCTCGGAAAGAGGGAGTCCGTGGTTCTAAATTTACTAACCCCACCTTAAAAATCCACCATTTTTAATGTATATTTAATTTCCAAGTGGGGTCCATGGACCCCACAACCCTTAACCTAGCTCCACCAATAACCAAAAACTAAAACTAAAAAAAAAACATAGTCAAAGCTCCAAGCTGAAGCTGAAATACCACACAGAAAACCTAATCAAAATAAAACCAACATCACTATGAAAAAATATGCAAAGAAACAACACAACCCAAGAAAGCAAAAGAAACCATAGCCAATACCCTAAACCCCAAACAAAAATTTAAATATCATAAAAAGCCCAAACGAAAAATTCCAGCACGACCACGCACAAGCCAGAATAAAGCCCCAAAAATAAATAGGCATACAACTCTAGTTGGTGGAGGAAACGTTGAACGAAATCATCGAAGAAGAGGAAGTCACCACTAAGAAAGAAGCAAAACCATTCCCCCGGAACTCTAAAAAAGTCTCCCCAGACTGCAGAATCCAGATCCAAGCAAAGAAAGCATAGAACCGAAGAGAACAAATCAGAATAAAATAAAATCCATCTCTACAAGAAAATTTGTGGAAAACTCCACTTCCAGAATAAGAAAAGGCCACAGAGTGCTGGAAAAGACTAACGATAGAGGACAAAGCAGTGAAAAGGGAGAAAACAGGAGGTGGGGAAAGGGGAAGTGCAAGAAGCGCAAGAAAATCTAGGCTACATTCGTTCATCAAGAAGTGCTAGTGGCAACTCTCGAAAGACAGCATGAGAAAATAAATCGTTGGATACAAATATGTTAAGAAAGTATTGTTTCTTAACCTGTATAAATGAAAACAGTGACGTTGTAAAATAAAAACTTAGATGAAAGTGAGTAAAGTTGATAGATATGAAATTCGGTTTTTTGATACTCGATTTTACTTGAATAATTTCTCATTAGGTTTTTTATTACTCAAGAATATTTCCATACACCGTTTAAGTAATGACAGAGCGCGACCAAATATGAGGGTTCACCTGCTTGAGCCCTTCGAACCCTCTACAAAGATCGCTATTAAATGTCTCCAAAAACACCATAATGATCTCGATAGAATCAAACACAAAACATGTCACTTTTTATAATGAACTCCAACTAAAGATTTCACCGCTAGCCAATATGACATTTTACATAATTTCTCATTAGTTAGAAGGAAGAAAGAAAGAGACTGAAAACTTATTTGTTGTTAGTACTTTTCACGTTTTATTTTTGTTGAATCACATTTTATTTTCCTCTCTTCGTTTCTGTTTTTCTTTTACAGTATCCGAAATCAACAAGAATTACGCCTCCTCTCGTGTCCTCCGAGTCTCTTCCTATCCCCGCTAGCTACCTCTCTCTCTCTCTCTCTCTCTCTCTCCCGTCGTCTATCTCTTAACCAAAACCCTAATTTCACCTCTTTCTCAAGATATTCAGGTTCAGCACATAATATTTGGGGAGGGAACAAAAAGAAAAAAACTAAGAGGCAAAAGGCCTGAAGAGGAGCTATACAACAATTTTTTTTCCCACAATCCCTTTCCCCTTTCGCTTTCTTTCTGATTTTCGCCTTCGCCCACTTCCTTCCGTGGTTTCCCCCGACTATTACCTATCGTCTGTGCCTTTCCAATTTTGTTCTTCTTCTCTCTGGGAAGCGCCATTGTTTTGGGTAGGGGGGGATTGAGAAAAGTGATAACAGACTCCACGAAAGGCTGTTTGGCAACGAATGGTCTTTAACTCTGTCTGCGGTGGAGCTGTTTAGCCTGCAATCGTAGCCGGTGCTAGGGTTAGTTCGCTTCCCTTTCTTCTCTGTGGCCCAAAATATAATCTCCGCCTATTTTGGTGCATCGTATACAATTTCCTGTCGTCCGCCTTCAAACCCTAGAACATTGCAGTTACACGTAGGACATGAGGGAGGGTTGTATTGGCAGTGTGGTGGACTGCTAGGGGGCTCTGCTTTCGGTGGATTGGGGGTATTGTTTCTGCAAGAGTCTTCTCTTCGCACTGATTAGTTTCAGTGGTCGTTCCCTTGGGTTAGGTTTTCATTCAAATGATAGTACTGCTTTATGGTGTTGAACCCTCGTTCGAGAATCGTGGTATTCTTTCGTTGATGGTGTAGATTCTCCTTCTGCCTCCCTGGTGTTGGCCGAATTGTGTTTGGACATGGTGTCCTGTTGAGTGGTTTCCTGCTGGTGTGTGCCAATCCATCTTCTTGATTGAGGATGGTGGCGTAGGGAAGGTGGTGGTGGGAAGAGAGAGAGACGGGTTACGTTTCCACTTCAATTCTGCTGTGTTGCAAGCTCGGTTTTGCCACTGCCTTTATTATTGCGCTCTGGGTTCGCAGCTGCTTTGAGAAATTTTTGCTTTTCAGACATCCGGGTTAATCGTTGCGAGCAATTTGAAAGATACAATCTCAAGAAAACGTTAAGGAAGCACACCAAAGTCTTTTAAGTCTTTGCTCTGGTCTGGTTTAGTGCCTGAGCGCGAAGGTTGTTGGTTGCGGAAGAGCAACAAGGGTGAAGTTTGGCAAACCATTACTTTGCACAGCAGGATAAGCCTCTGGTTTGAGAGGGGTGCTTGAAGTTGAAGAAAACATTTTTTTTCGCTTTAGTTTCTGATAATGTTAAGTGCTTATCCTTATGGAAAGAAGTGAACCCACATTAGTCCCAGAATGGTTGAGAACTACTGGAAGTGTATCTGGAGGTGGCAGTTCTGCCCACCACTTTGCATCTTCTTCTTCGCATTCTGGTAAATAATAAATTATATTTCTACATTTCCAGTTTGCATATAATTATGGGTTGTCTAATTTGAGTTATGCTATTGTCATATAGATATCTCTTCATCCTCAAATCATTCGAGGACTCGGAACTCTAAGAGTACAAGTGATTTTGATTCCCCTCGTCTGGCATTTTTGGATCGAACATCTTCATCCAATTCTAGAAGGAGTTCCAGTAATGGGTCTGGGAAGCATGCATACAGTAGTTTTAGTAGAAACCATCGTGACAAGGAACGAGATAGGGACAAAGATAGGTTGAGCTTTACTGACCATTGGGATCGTGATCCGTCTGATTCTTTGGGAAGCTTATTAACTATTAGGAATGAGAAGGATACATTACGGCGGTCTCACTCTATGGTAACCAGGAAACAGAGCGATGTGTTATCCCGTAGGGTTGCATCAGACTTGAAGAATAGAAGTAGCAGCAGCAATCATGTAAATGGCAACGGCTTGATATCTGATAGTGTTTTGGGAAGTACTGCCCAGAAGACTACCTTTGAGAAGGACTTTCCCTCACTTGGAACTGAAGAGAGACCTGTTGTGCCTGATGTAGTCAGAGTCTCATCTCCTGGTTTGAGCAATGGTGTTCAGAGCTTGTCGGTTGGGATTTCTGCTTTGATTAGTGGTGAAGGGTGGACATCTGCTCTTGCAGAAGCACCTCCCGTTGTTGGAACCATTAGCACAGGGTCTGCACCTACTGCTCAAGTAATTACTTCATCTGGATCTGCTGCTCCAACTGCCATGGCTGGTCTTAATATGGCTGAAGCGTTGACTCAGGCTCCTTCAAGAGCTCGTACGACTCCACAGGTAAAATAATCAACTTTGGTGTTTGTCTTGGATTGGTTTTTTTTTTTTAAGATTGTGAGTGATAATAACTTATGAGTTATGATAAATGTACAGTTATCTGTCCAGACACAAAGGCTTGAGGAATTGGCTATTAAGCAGTCGAGGCAATTGATACCGGTGACACCTTCCCTGCCTAAGAGTTCGGTGAGTACTTTTTGTTTTAAGAATAAATTTCTTGCTATTACTGTATGAGTTGGTTGCGAATGGTTTGTTGGCGTGGTATAAAAACGATGGTTGGGTTACTTTGGTTTCATCTTCAAATATCTATGCCAAGATGATCCTCTTAAGCATGAAGAATATAAGATCTGGACTTGTGGGTAGGTTGGGCACTGATTGTGAGGGAAGTCTGCCGGTATGTAGGGGTTTAATAATTGTCTACCTGGAAGTAACCTATCAATTATAGAAAGACCTATCTGATGGTTTTGCGCCTTTTATGCACAGTGTAGTGGTGCTGGCTGCATTTCTAACTTCGTGCCATCCTATATGGGCAGTGACCAATGTACACGAATCATTAGTTTTGTCTTTAACTATTAGGATATAATGAATGAATCCTCATTGGAGTGTTCGTCTGATAATGGATGGATCATGTCTTTCCTGATATATAGGCTTCCTGAGTGTTATGTGAAGAGATTGCTGATCTTTCTGCATTCTATGCATTGTTCCTCATTGTTAGGCATCTACTGTTTCATGCGTAGGCGATGGCAGAAATACAATTTTGTTAGATTTTTTTTTTCCACATTGAAATCAAAGTAAGATTGCCCCTCCCCTTCCCATGCATGCCATTCTTCCCTTGCTTGTAGGCTTGAGAACAATTTGGTTTCCCCGACCTTGGCAGATGATAGAGTGAAACTGATTCGGCCTGAATGCCTCAGCATTTGTTTTGTGGTATGGAGGTTTTTAATTCAGTTTGATTTCTGTTGTGAAATGTGAACCTCTTGCATCCACATGAAATTGTATTTACGATGTCAGTTGTCAACTGGCCAACTCATTGATGTCTCTATGTAGTAATAGCATGAAAGTTGGGAAATAATGTTCTCTGCAATTGCAGATTTGGGAATTATTCTCAGGTCGTAGACTCTCTTTGGTTCTTACATGCTAGTATGCTTCAGGTGTAAGAATGTGGTTTTTCTGATCATTAAATAGAAATGATCCTGCCATGAACAGCGTGAATGTTCATGATTTAATCATTGCCAACATTTTCAACACGCAACATTTCTTTGTTAAGAGGCGTGATAATGAGCGAAACTTGCATGCATTTTTCACATTTGAAGCTTTGTGGGCTCTCGTTAGTTAGGTTCATGAACCCTAGGTTTGCATCCTTGAAAAGAAAGGGCAGATTATTAGGAAGGGGAACAATATAATAAAAATAGTATTTTCCCTCCAAATGAAAGGTAACCTATTACAGAGTATCTCTGCCTGCAATCACCTAATTCCTTCTGCGCTTCGGATGTGTTGGTGAGCTTACTGTTGTCCCAACATTGTTTAATGCACTTGGTTGGGAGTGGGGATGTGTTTTAATATGGGTTTATGCTGAGATGGTCATTTGATGAATGCCATTTTTGCCAGGTTCTAAATGCCTCTGACAAATTAAAACCCAAAGGTGGTGTGAGATCTGGGGAGATGAATATGGTCAAGAATTTGCAGCAGCAACAGCAGCAACCTCCTTCATTTCTTCATCCCACCAATCAATCTCTTCTTGGTGGGAAGTCGGAGGTACCAAAGACAACTCATGGGAAACTTTTCATACTCAAACCAGGGAGAGAAAATGGGGTATCCGCTTCTCCTAAGGATGTTGCTAGTCCGACAAATAGTACAGCAGCCAGAGTGTTAAATGCTCAACAAGCTGCGGCTGCTGCTGCTACTTCAGTTGTTGCATCTGTAGCTCCCAGGAGCCCAATTAACCCTCCAAAGATTTTCTCTGGGGGGGAGCGCAAGTCGAATGCGATGATCCCAGGGTTTAGTATCGAGAAGAAGCCTTCCTTGTCGCAGGCCCAGAGTAGGAATGATTTCTTTAACTTGTTGAAGAAGAAAACCTCTGGGAATGCTTCTATGGTGGTGACGGATTCATCAACTGGTGTAGTTTCGTCTGCTGGTGGGGAGGAGAAATCAAATGTGGCGCTGAGTAAAGAACCGGTTGGTGATCTGGAAAGTTCTCAAGCTCTCGGCGGTCGGTTAAGTAGTAGCAATGGTGGTAGTACTGAACCCTCCGAGGAAGTTCAGAGATTTTCCGAGGAAGAGGCTGCATTCCTTCGGTCCCTTGGTTGGGAAGAAACTTCCGGAGAAGATGAAGGCCTTACCGAGGAGGAGATCAACGCTTTCTATCAGGAGGTAAACCAGAAAAAAACAAACTTTGCACACTTTTGTAGCTAGCTGGGTCGCGCGGTAGTAGTTGACGTTGTTTTGGAAGGGCCTGTAACTGACATGGGTTGTTGTGGTTTCGCCTTTGACAGTACATGAAACTGAAGCCATCGCCGAAAGTGAATGGGCAATTGCAGTAGCAGAAGTTGGTTGATTCTGTGGAGGGAACTTCATCTTGGTTGAACTCTTCCGGCTCTGGTTCTGAAGATTGAAGATTTTTGTCACTATATTTGGAGATGGAAGATGAGAGATAACAGGACTGGCAATTTTTGATGGGCAGACAGGTCACAGATGGGTAGTAGTTCCTGTTTTTCGGTTCTTTTCATTGTTTTTTTTTTTTGGGGGGTTCCTCTTTTATTTTCCGGTGTTGGGAAGAAAGCTGATGTTGTTACTATAGGCAGGGGGGAAGGAAAAGGGTGGGTTGCTGTTTTGCAAATAGTGCAATAAAGAAAAGAGAGTAGTTGCCTCTGGTTCTCTTCTTCGCTTGCTGCTGCTGCTGCTGTTGTCTAGGAGGCAAATTTTTTCATCAAGTTATTACGGTCTACACTTGTCAGTAGTCTCTCCCTCGTAATCTCACACACAGTTGGATTTTTTGGGGGAAGAAAGAAAGGAAACCGGTAAAGGAATGGCCGGCGGGTGATGGGTTGGGCCGGAAAGGATTACATCTTTTGGGGATACTTTGTCTCTTATATAATTTTTTTTTTTCATTCTACAAGGAAAAGCCCAGCTTCTTTCTCGTGTTCTTTTGTCAATTTTTTGCTCAAAAGGAAAAGAAATTTAGAAAAAAGAAAAGGAGAGAAAATGAAGTTCCATTCTTAGTGTTGTTGTTGGTAGAGAGTAGAATGACTCACTTCTGGAAGCAAATCATCCTTTTGAGAGTGCTCTATCATCCTTCATGGGAGCAAATCAATGTGCACAAATCTTGAGCTCTTGCCCGGGAGATGTTTGTGAAAGGGAAAATCCTGAAGTTCCCGTTTGTCATGCATGTCAGAGTCAATTCTCCATTGTTGCTTGGCATAGCCTGTTATCAAACGAGGTTAACTTGAGAACAATGGTGGTAATTAAGGTCATAATTACCGAGTAATTTAATCTGATTAATTACCTCACAAGCAGTTGTCAAGTCGTTGCAACTCCAACTCCTGGAAGGAATGCAGTCGATGTAACTACACCACCCGCAGTAGGAGCCTAGGTTGATCCCTTGAACCGCAGCTCCAAAACACCCTGCAAGCCTGCCCTCCATGTATATTGACAAACACACGACCTCCCATTCTTAGTTAAATTGCAAACTAGCACTTTTCAATCAGATATAATTATCTCAAGAGAGAAGGGAAAGAACTCACAGTAGAGCGAAAATGATGAGAGACACACTTCTCAGCCCTGGTTTTTCCACCTTCACCACCTTCTCCTTCAAGTTGAAAGAGCCTTTGGAACCGTAGTCACAAGCTTCTGACAATCTCTGGGGTTTCTTTCCAAGCTGTGGTGGCATCAGAAGTGCATATCCAAGGAGCAAACCCGACACCAACCCTCCCATGTTGGAGTAGTTGCAGACATAAGGCAGCAAGCCCAGCACGAAATTACAGGCCAAAATGAAAGCGAGAGCTACCATAGCCTTGCCCTGCAAATCGATCGCCGAAATCAGAGAGATCGTTAGATTTGAGGGCAAGAACAAAACCATGGAGGAGGAGATAAGAGAGAAGGGGCCGATAACTACTAACGACCTTACTGGTGTAGAACTTCCAGTTCTTTGCGAGTGCAGATATTGTGGCTCCAAGCAGGCCGTGTAAAGCACTGGAGGAAGTGACTGCGGGTTTATCTTGAACGAAAAGGGCACCCACTAAAGTCCCCAGAACAGCAGAGCCTATGTATATCAATCCAGTCCTCACTGCAGAATTGGAAAGCCATGGAGATGTTGTAAAATGGGTACGGTTCAGCCAAGGCGAAAGAAGCAGCGTTTGGAGAATTACCTGCTCCATACTCTTGCTCTAGAAAAATCCCGAGGAAGATGATGCTAATTAGATTGACGATTAGGTGGATGAGTCCAGCATGTAGCCATGGAGATGATAGAATGCGCCAAGTTTGATGGTTCGCCAATCGAGTCTTCCGTAGAGCACCCATTTTGTCCAGACTGCAATCCGGAAGAGCAAAACTTGAATTTCAGTAGTGTATGGAAAGTAAGAGCAAAATCAGTATTGAACAGTATTATTTCTCCACCATGGGTTCACAGCGGCACACTAGCAAACACCTAGTGAGCAACATTTCTACAGCTGATTTCCGGGCAGGACATTCCATCAACCAAAACAGAAATCCACTGAAATAGGTTCGCTAGGTCAGTTTCATCAACAGAAAAGAGCTAAATCATACCAAAAATTGAAGATCAGACCTCCGATTCAAACAAACAGCGACCATCACCAGAACAGAATCCCTAATTCAGCAAGAATTTAACAGATTATACAGCCAAGAGTTACTGACGTGGACGAGGAGGGGCCGAGGAAGGGGTTCTCGGAGAGAGGCTGAAAAGACAACCGCGAGAGGGATCTGGCAGCACAATCGCCGGCGGAGTTGCGCCGGCAGTCGTTGACGAACATTGTGACGAAGAAGACCACGAGGTAGCAGATGACGAAGGCGGAGACGATCCATGTGTCGCTCCGTCTGTGGCGGGAACGCGATCTGAAGAAGGGAGTCGTGGGCTCTTCCGATGCGAGGTCTTCGGCTGGCGCTGCGAAGTCAAAAGGTGCGGGGACAGTGGTGCCTGGCGGCGGCGGCAGTGGCGGCGGCGGAGGATGAAGGATCTCGATCATGGCCTCCGACTTCCGTGTTTCTTCCGGCAATCCCATCTCAGCGTGTTAACTTGCAGGAGTCGGGAAAATGCAGGAGGTGGGGACGGAGAGAAATGCAGAGCAGCCGAATCAGAACAGAAAAAAATGGTGAGCCCCGACGGCTTTTATAACTCGGTTTCTTTTTTCAGTTGGGGTCGTTGGATTTGGCGGGAAACGGATAGTTTATGGGTTCTAGAAAGTGTCTTCTTTAGGGTGAATTCCCTATTTGGCTCCTGAACTATATAAGATATCTACAAAAGCCCCAATAGAATGGAATTTACATTTTGGTCCCCAGATTATGCCATGTTTTCGAACCACAAGTTCAGTCACTTTTGGCACGCACAAATTAGGGTAACTGCAGCAAGGGTGAGGCACAAATAACAAAATTTTGATGGAAAAAGTGCGAGTAAGCATGATTTGGCTCATACATAAGAGAAAATGGATGAAAGTAAACGGGAGAGCTGGTTTGAAGAAATGGCAAGAGCGTGGGAACTAGGGAGGAAAAATTGTAAGTTTCACGTGCCATTGGTTGCTCGAGAAAGTGTATAATTCATTGTTCAAAATGTTAGAGAAACGAGTTTTTCTTTAGAGAAATTACACGTTTGGTCGTTCGATTCATTAATTTTGTCACGTTTGGAATTTAAATATTTTGCTTATTTGTTAGTCAATCACTTTAATTCCTTTTGTCGTTCATAACCAGGCTCCAGCCGATCAATTCTATTAAATCCGTCTTACGTGGCAGTCAACTTATTTTTCGGCGAGGAAAATATGATATTTGATATTAATGCTTTGCACCTTTAACTTCTTGAACAACGATAATAACACGGTTCACACCTCTCCGAACAATGTTCGAACGAGGGGTGTTTGATGTTTTGATGGTTTTTTGGGAACAAGCTAAGTTACGTCATTCCTACTAGCTCCTACGGAGGTTCAATGATAGCTCTGAAAACTAAAGGCTACAACTATGGCTACATTACGGAGAAAAGATAAAGTTTGACATGTGATGTCAAATATTTGATTGTGAAACCCTTGTTTCGTATTTGTTTCTCCTATTTATAGCCATCACTTGTAACCGCCATGTAATTGCCTCTTTGTAACCGCTTCTCCACTACTTTGAGGTGGGTTTAGTTATGGTTTCTATAAGAAAGCATGGTCTATAATAGAACAGGTGATAACTAAGGGAATGCTTCACTTTTTTTCAAATATGTTGTTCCAAAAGACATAAATTTAATAGTTGTGGAACTTATACTAGGGTACCTACTGCTGCTAGCCTAAAGGAATATCGACCTATATCATATGTGAATGTCTTGTACAAAATTATTGCAAAAATCTTAGCAAAGAGGCCTCGTGAAGTTCTTTCGAGAGTTATAAGCGGGAACCAATCGATTTTCATCGAGGATAGGCACATAATTGATAATATCATGATGGCTCAAGAGATGGTTAGTACAAGTAGTTATCAAAGGAAACTTCCATCGTCTCTTGTGCAATAAAGGTTGATCTCATGAAGGCCTTCGACTCGGTAAATTGGGGAATATTTGTTCTTCGTCATGAATATAATGGACTTTCTTGAACCGTTTGTCGCTTGGATTCAAGTGTGTGTACGAACTGCTCGGATTAGTATACCAACTTATAGTGGTTTGTGTGGGTTTTTTGGTGCTCAATGAGGAGTTAGACAATGTGACCCTTTGTCGCCATACACGTTGGTAGGATCTGCGCACTTTTAACTTCGAGGAGAATCACAAACGATCATGAAAAACACATGAATCTCCATAGTCCATATAATAGTGATATGCTCCCCCTAAAACTATGATATTTCTAAGAACTCTCCCCTGATTGTCATCAATGGAGATTGAGATTATGAGGTACCTAAGCTATTGTTGTTCCTTGATTAATCAAGGCTCTTCTGAATATTGAGGTCAGATGGTGCATCAGCCCGGACTTGGGGATATCTTAGTGGTGGAGGACTTGGATAACCAGGGTGAGGCACATTAGTCATTACATGTCTGCATCTCGAGCTTCTTTAGCCTTCAATCTGTTGAATGAGGTATTGAGATAGCATTGTCTTAAGATTGTGAATGGGAAGAAGGTGGTTGCGTTGAAGGATGTTGTAAAATCAATAATGAGGATTTTTAGGGGTTTTGAAAAGAAAAAAAAAGCCACAAAAAGAAACACCCAAAATACTAAATACTACTTCCATATATCTTTATAGATATTCTGCAGCAAAGCTGCTTTTAGGAAGATAAACTGACAGACAGAGTGGAGTAAAAGAAAAAAAAGAGCTCCGATTTTTGTGGGAGGAATACCGAGGAAAACCTAGGTCAAGCTTCTCGCTGTTCGTATTGATGGCGGCGTCAACGCCGTCCGGCCAGCCGTCGCCCACGGGAAAACCACCTGATGGAACGAGTGGAGCGAGGCGAACGGCTCTGGGAACTTCTTCTCCGGACAGTAAAAGTGCTCGTGAGACTATACAACCAAAGAAAAAAGTTAGGGCTATGGACGTAGAAACAGAGATGACTGATGTGAGTCCTGAAACCGGCGGTGAAGAGGTACCGGACTTGCAAAGGAAGGGGCAGCAGGAGGAACCAGGACAGAAGGCGCCTCTCTCAGCCTGGCAGGGAGGGGAAGCACGACTCTTCAGAGATGTCCTGAAAGATGGGGGCTGGTACGTGGCTGAGTCGGATACTGAAGATGTACTACAACAAGAACGCGAAGAGGATGATGTCGTTGATGAGGAAACTTACGACCACGCTGTCCACCGGCTTTATTCACGGCTGCCCAGAAGAACAAGTGGAGACGGGAATGGAGGTCAACTTTGGTGGTCAAAGGTCTGGGGAAAAAGGTGTCGTATCTGCCGCTTGCAAAGCGATTGAACTTTTTGTGGGCAAGGAATGGCGAGCTTCAGATCTCTGACATGAAGAATGGATGCTTCCTGGTACGTTTCAGAAGCCAGAAGGACTATGAACTTGCCTGTTCGGAAGGGCCTTGGTTGTTGGGAGACACATACCTGACTGTGTTCCGTTGGTATAAGGGTTTCAACCCGTGGAAAGTAGAGGTGAAGTCCACGCCTGTGTGGGTCCAGCTGCCGGACCTACCTATCGAATTTTTTAACGCGGAGGCTGTTACAATTATTGCTCAGTTGATTGGTCGGCCAGTTCGTGTGGATCGTGCAACTGAGATGGGTGCAAGAGGAAACTACGCTAGAGTTTGCGTCGAAGTGGACCTCTCTCGCCCATTACTTTCACAATACAAAGTTGAGGGAACTACCTATCTAATACAGTATGAAGGCTTGGAAGACATATGTGGGGAATGTGGAATGTATGGAAATAAAACAACCTCATGCAAATGCCATGCAATGGGTGAAGAGGACAAAGAATTGGAAGAAACTGTAGTACCGGAAACCCAAGATGCGAACCCAACTGAAGGCCGGGTGTACGGTGAATGGATGACGGTAAAGAAGAAGGTGTGGCAGCCAATGAAGCGCGTAAGTAACACTGAAGGCAGGAGGGAAGAGGTGGGAAGAAGAAATAGATTTCATGTCCTGAACGAACAGGAGGGTTATGGGAATGATGGTCGAACTGAAACAATGGCAGAAAGGGAAAAGTCGCGTGGGGAGGAAGTGAATCCCGGTGCACAGACCAGTGGCTATAATGAGAAAGAGAGGGCGATGGATGGGAAGGGAACAGAGAGGGGACCTACAAAAAATGATGGGAAACAGAAGCTTAGTAGTGATACGGCAAAAGGTGGGAAGGAAAAGGTTGGAAAACAGGTCAATGTGGAAGGTGCTCAGAAGGCGAAAGTGAATAAGGGTGGTAAAGCCCAAGTGACTCATGGCAATGGAAATGGCTCGAAAAGAGGTAACCAAACAGCTGATGGTGCGGGGAACCTATCCCCTTCTGGGAATAGATGAGACTGTTGTGTTACAACTGCCGCGGGCTGGGGAGCAAGCGAGCAGTTCGTGCTTTACGTTCGCTTTTGCGACGTTACTCCCCAAATGTTGTTTTCTTGTCGGAAACAAAACAAACAAAGGAGGAAAATCGTGTGACTCAGGTGGAACTGGGATTCGAGGAAGGGGAAGCAAGTTCGATGGACGTGTCGGGGGGCGGTCGTGCGGGAGGTCTGGGAGTTTGGTGGCGAGAAGGTATCAACATCGACCTGATGTCTTTGGACCGTAACCACGCTGATGTTAGGATCACGGAGGACGAAGGGGGTGTGTGGAGATTCACAGGAATCTATGGGTGGTCGGAAGACTCGGAGAAGTGGAGGACTTGGGACCTTCTATGACGGCTGGGGGGGCAGTGGGATGGTCCGTGGCTGTGCGGCGGAGATTTTAATCAAGTTCTACGTAGTCAGGAAAAAAATGGTGGTCGAGGGGCCCCTGATGCAGGGATGGTGGCTTTTGAAGACTGTCTTGATGAGGTTGGGTTAGGAGACCTGGGGTACAGTGGATATCCGTTTACGTGGGAGAACAGGCGAGTAGGTGCAGCTTATATTGAGGAACGCTTGGACCGATTCGTGGCAACAGATAGTTGGTCGGGGCTATTCCCAGGTGCACGAGTTCTGAATCTCGAGAAAGAACGGTCTGACCACCGCCCGATCAATTGTGATACTTGTGGCGAAGCTGACGAGGAGCCCCAATGGGGGTGGTCTTTTAAATTCGAGCCCTACTGGGCAAAGCACGAAGACTGCCACCGTGTGATTGAGAAGGCATGGTCAGATTGTGGGGGAGAGGATTTACTTACAAAGTTTCTTTCTTGCAGGGAAAGTCTAAGCTCTTGGAGTAAGGAAGTTTTCCCAAACTTTGGGCGGCAGCGTCGGAAAATTAAAAGAGCTTTGGCTGCGCTGGATTGGAGACCGCGCTCGAAGCTGGTAATCCAACAGCGAAAACAGTTGGAGTTTGAGCTTGCAGAACTTGAGGCAAATGAAGAGCTTTATTGGAGCCAAAGGTCTAGAGCGGATTGGTTGAAGGGTGGTGACAAGAATAC